GCTGGCTGAACTGAGAATCTGTGTGTGCTGTAGCCAGAGTGTTGGGTTGGGATTAATTCCTGCTTGGCTGTGAAGCTCACTGGGTAACTCTGGGCCACTGGCTGTTGGCCTAACCTACCTTCCAAGGTCTTGTGAGGATAAAATAGAGAGGAGGAAGGCCATGTAAGCCAGCTGTCCCCATCCTTGTGGCCTTCAGAGGCACTTGGACCGCAACTCCCAGAATTCCCTTCAGGGGCATTGACTGTGAATTCTGGGTGTTGCAGTCCAAGTGTATCTGAAGGCCACAAGGTTCAGGAAGAAAAAAGCTCTGATATAAATATAATAAATGGAATACAAACAATTGCCTGGCCTGTAAACATTCTGGGGTGCCTGCTTCAGCTATCTGAATGCCTGGGGATGTGGGGGAGGCAGAGAGAGATGCTGCCTGCCCTGCTGGATGGGATCAGAAGATGCAGCTATCAACTTTACAGTGACATGGCATCCCCTCTGTCCTAGCCTTCTGACCTCCACCAGCTGTCTAGAGCAAGACATCGTGTGCCAGTGTGGCATAGAGCTTACAGACATTAGTCTGGGACCCAGGAGATCTGGGTTCTAGTTCCTGCTCAGCCATGGAGCCAACTGGGTGACTTTGGGCCAGTCACAGACTCTCAGCCCAACCCACCTCACAGGGCTGTTGTTCTGAGGATAAGATTGCGAACAGGAAGAAGAGAGTGAACTAAGCCACTTTGGCGAGTTCTTTGAGAAAGAAAAAGGTAGGACAGATATCTAATAATACACAAGTAAGTGTAAAGGAAATGAAATAAAGAAGTGACAAATATTAGGAAAGAAAATTAGATGGTTATCAATTAGTGCATAAATGTTCTTTATTTATTTTACTTATTTGGAGTTTTTGTATGCCGTCCCATTTGCATAAACCTTGGGACGGCTTCCAATACAATAAACAAACAAGCACATAAATAGTACATATAAAATAAAATCTGGATTCACCCTGGCTGTAGAATTAAAACCAATAAATGATATTAACAGTTATTAAAATACTGTTTAAATGAAAAGGTCTTGGCCTGGCGCCGAAAAATAAATAACGACGGTGCCAGGTGGACCTTTCTGGGGAGCACATTCCATAGGTTGGGTGCCACCGCAGAGAAAGCCCTCCTCTGGGTACTCAGTCTCCTAATGCCTTCATGGAGGGTTCCCGGAGGAGGGCCGATCTGAAGGGGCGGGAGGGCAAATATGGAAGCAGGCGTTCCTTTAGGTATCCAGGTCCCAAGCCGTTAAGGGCTTTGTAGGTGATAACCAGCACCTTGAATTGAGCCCGGACTTCGATGGGGAGCCAGTGAAGCTGATAGAAGACTGGGGTTATGAGAGAGTAACGCTCAGTCCCTGTCAGCAACCTGGCTACTCTATTTTGCACCATCTGAAGTATCCGGAGTGTCTTCAAGGGCAGCCCCATGTAGAGCGTGTTGCAGAAGTTGAATCAGGAAGTAACCAGTGCATGTGTCATTGTCGCTAGACAATCATCCTCCAGGTAGGGATGCAGCTGATGGATTAGCCGAAGTTGAAGGAAAGCGCTCCTTGCCACTGCATTCACTTGAGCTTCCAAAGACAGCTCTGGGTCGAGGAGCACTCCCAAGCTGCAGACCCTGTCCTTTAGAGGGAGTGCAACCCCATTCAGTACAAGGTCCAAGTCACCTACCCCGGAGCCCGAACCACCCACCAACAGGACCTCTGACTTGTCTGGATTGAGCTTCAGTTTATTGGCCCTCATCCAGCTCGTTACCTTGGCCAGGCACCGGTTAAGTACAGCCACTGCCTCACCTGGATTGGTAGAAAAAGAGAGGTAGAGCTGGGCATCATCAGTGTACTGATGATTTCGCAGCCCACACCTCCTGATGACCTCTCCCAGCGGTTTCATGTAGATGTTAAATAGCAAGGGGGACAAAATGGATCCCTGCAGTACTCCATGGCATAACTGCCATGGCGCAGAGCCATAGTCCCCCAGCACCACCTTCTGGAATCGGCCATTGAGGTAGGAGCAGTGCGTCCTACTCCTAGTTCCACAAGCCTATCCAGAAGGATACCATGGTTGATGGTATCGAAAGCCGCTGAGAGGTCCAGGAGGACCAACATGGACGCACTCCCCCATCTCTCTCCCTGCACAGGTCATCATACAGGGCGACCAAGGCAGATTCAGTACCATACCCGGGTCTCAAGCCAGACTGAAATGGGTCCAGATAATCAGTCTCATCCAAGAGTGCTTGGTGTTATCCCGCCACCACCCATTCTAACACCTTGCCCAGAAACGGGATGTTGGCCACCGGTCTATAATTGGTGGCCATCTCTGGATCCAGGGACACCTTCTTTAGGATCAGCCTGACTACTGCCTCCTTTAAAGGGGCAGCTACCCAGCCGTCCCTCAGAGAGGTGTTGATGACTTCCAGGATCCAGGCAACAATCCCGTGCTTGGCTTTGTTGAGTAGCCACGACAGGCAAGGGTCAAATAAACAGGTGGTGGGATGTACTTGCCCAAGCACCTTGTCCACATCATCAGGCCACAATAACTGAAACTCATCCAATAATGTCTGACCAGACGGAGACATTGGCAGCTCCCCTAAGGGCTCTGAATCACGTGGAGTCCAGCTCGTGACGAATCTGAGCAATTTTCTCCTTAATATGATTGGCAAAGTCGTCACAGCGGGCCATCGAGGGTGGTACCTGTACCACCCGAAAGAGCTCCTCTGGCAGCATTGTGAGGAGGCAATGGAAGTGGAGAAGAATTTCTTTTTCGCCGCCCTCACCACCACAGCATAGGCTCAATAGTGAGCTCATGTGTTCGGTCAGATTCATCCCGTGATTTCCTCCACCTATGCTCTAATTCAGGTGTATACTAGGGGGATGAATGGGTTCTGCTGGGAGGGAGAGGACACTTAGGAACGATCGTGTCAATAGCTCTGGCCATTTCCCCATTCCACAGTTCAACCAAAGCATCAACAGGAGCACCAGCCTTATCAACCAGAAACTCCCCCAGAGCCTTCAGGAATCCATCCGAATCCATCTGGCTCCGAGGGCGGACCACAATAGGGTCCGCACCCTTACAGAGGGAAAGGCTGGCATCAAGCTCAAACCTCATGAGGAAGTGATCTGACCATGACAGGGGAGCCAGACACAAATTCCTCACCCTCAAATCCCCCTCTTCCTGCCCTGTCGACAAAACCAGGTCCAGAGTGTGTCCACATTCATGGGTCAGGCCTATGACATGTTGAGACAGCCCCATGGCCATCATGGAGGCCATGAAGTCCTGAGCCAACCTGGTCAGAACAGTCTCGGCATGGAGATTGAAGTCCCCCAGGACCAACATCCTGGGGGTCTTCAACACAGGTCTGAAATGATCTCCGTCAGCTCAGGCAGGGAATCTAATGGGCAGAAGGGTGCATAGTATACCAACAGACTCCCCAATCTTTCTCAGCTGCCCAGCGCCAGATAGAGGCACTCTAGACCTGGTCTCGAGAGAACAGGAAGCCCCGTGAGGGAGATAGAAGCCCGATCAATTAAAGCGACCCCCCCTCCCCTCCGGACGTGGCCAGTGCTGGACCAGGCACAGTAAAGAGAGGAATACATCCCCCCGCTCCCGCCCAGGTCTCTGTTATGCAAGCCAGGTCGGCCCCCTCATCCACAATCAAGTCATGAATGAGGGATGTTTTGTTGTGGACCGACCTGGCATTAAGCAACAGCACCATCAGGTCCGAGGGGCGGTTGATAAGCATGCCTGGAATCTTCCGGTTGGGGGAATAACCAGAAGGGGGAACAGGTATCAACCACCTGTCCCTCCTCCTTCTACGCGGACACGTTAGACGCCGTAACGTCCATTGCCCATGACCACCCCAATGGCGGCGCCCACGCACTCCCCAGGCAACCCCATACTCAAAGCCAGAGATGAATCCATTAAAACAACTAAAAACACATTAAAACACTTAAAAACACTTAAAAACACACCCACAATCCCTGCCACCCACTTTGACCAATCCCACCCTCCAGCCAACAACAAAGACCTTGGCCAGTCCAGTCCAGTCTATGCCAACACTTTAAACCCCCAATGCCATAACAACCATTGCCCAAGACCACCCCAATGGTAGCACCCACATGCTCCTCAGGTAACCTCATGGTAGCAGGCAGGTGTGAATCCCTTAAAACAATCTAAACCAAAATACAATTAAAAATACAGTAAAACCGTAAAACCCACCAACCACCCAAATACAATTCCACCGCACAAAGTCTATGGCCAGCCCAGCCCCCGCATGGCCCTGAACAGTCCCAAATGGCGACAACACCCTTAGGCCATCGCTCTTCGGCCGCTGGCCTGAGGCCGCCGGCCCTGGCCGGCGAGTTAAGCCGGCAGCCCCTCCCCGTGCTCCTCCCCCAATCCGGTGCAGCTGCCACCCACGCTGGCGGGGGAGGGGGGCAAGGGTGGCTGTGGAGAAACTCGCCAGCGAAGATGGAGGGTCTGCAGGCTGGCTGCAGCGCCCCCTGGTCTTGGTCCCACAGTGGCCGCCGTCCATCCAGCAGGTGGCGTCAGCGGTCTGGCAGGTCGGCCTCGTCATCTGCAGGCGGCAGTGGAAGGTGGAGGCCCAGTCCAGTTCTTGCCCATCCATGGTCTCCCAACAAGCCCAGGTGTTCAAGGTAGGCCAGTCTTGCACCTGTTTTCCAGCAGCACCTCTTGCTCCTTAATTCCCAATGTTATCTTCCTTAGCAAAGAATGAGGGGTAAGTGCAGCTAATTATAGAAAACTTCACTGGCATTGCAGAGCTGGCCTAGAGTTTGTTGTTGACAAATGGCGAATTAAAATGTTGTTCCTCCTTTGTTTCTGAACAAATGTGGAGCGGCATATCAATTGATACAGTGCCATCAATATTCCCACTAATAATGGGATGACTGGATCCAAGAGAAAGACTTAGGGTGAAAGATGATCATATTATGATAAAAAAAAGAACAAGTGAGGCCATTCATGAGAGCAATAGAAAAATACTTTTATTAACAACTGCAGAGCAAGGCAAGTTTATCTGGAAATCGGTTGCAGACAGACTACGAACTTCTCACAACACCTGATGCCGGAGAGTGAACCTTTGCCTGGCTGGAGATATGAGCGGCAGCTTTAGGGCCAAGTTCCAGGACAGCGCAGGAGATCCTCCCTGCTAATGGCACTGAACATTCTCTACAGCACTATTTACACATTAAAAGTGATCCACACAAACTATCTTCATAATAATTAAAATGGCCCTGTAAATTAGGAAAACCTTATCACCATCATCAATCCCATTCTGCAGATGGCAGAGGGTGAAAACTGAAATGAGGGTGGCTTCTTTCATCCTTTTAAAAAAGAAATTAAATTTGTTATGCAGCAAAAGAAGACTAGATGATTGGGAGAGCTAGGAGTCCTCTATGTGGAAACACCCAGTCAGAAAGATTCAAACGAGGCTCCAATACGTGTTAACTACCTGTCTGGGTAAATCCTTATTCTCCAAAATTAGCCAACCAGTGCTCCTTATGGAACAGAAAGAACTATTTCATTTTGAAGGAACACAAATCCCTTTCCAAATGGTAAGCTCTAACTGATAAAAACTGATTATGATCCAGGTTTCCACCACCGTTTCTGAATTTTTGAAAATCAAGTATCTGGCTTTCTACATGTCCCTTCCTGGGATTAGAAGGCCCTTCTTAATCAAGTCAGTAAATCTGACTAGCCCTCAAGGCTGCACCAAGCTCCTTCAGGGGAAACACAGGAGACTTCAGGGCATCAGGTCCTGCATCCGGAGTCCCAACAAAGAGGGGGCATTTTGCAACTGGCTTGGAAGGGGAATGTGTGATCTTCTGGAGGCAGCAAGTGTTGCGGAAATTAGGTCTCAGCCACTAGAGAAGGGATGCTGTGGATTGACGCCATGCTCTTCTGTATCGTCTGTAACAGTAGGTGCTCCATTTTCTGCCGGTTGGGTCTCATTAGTAGTTTCATTTGTGGGAGAATGTTCCACTCGGGCCTGTTCAGGCCAAACAACTGCTGGAAAGGTAGTGAAGGAAAAGAATCTATATAAATATAGTTATATAGGGTTACATATTGAAATGAAGTTGGATGATTAGTTTCAAGAACCTACAGCTCAGAGATGTTGAAGTTTGGGAGCTTAATCTAAACATCCCTAATACATTGAGGATCTCTGTGTATATATGCCTTGATCATGTGGCCTGTTTGAGCTAGGGATGGGAAGGAATTTGTTTGGGTGACATTTTTAAACAATGGCTTACTAATATGCCAATCTGGCTACAGTTCTCTCTTGCTTTAAGCACTTCTCCCCATTTTGTGATGCCATTCTTGGCTCAAAAACTGCATATATTAGGAAAAGTTGTGTACAAAAATGAGTAATTTAGATAAACTTGGGAACCACAGGAAATATGAACTTTTTTTTGGAAATATAATCACTGGTGGATGGATGGATTTATGACTAAATGCATTCCAAGCTGATATAGCCCAGACATAAACTGAGCAATCCATCCCAGTGTTAGCTAACTATCACTTGTGCCAGAGAAAGCACCCCCACCATGCCTGAAACAGGTAATAGCTAACATTAAAGCTGGCCATAGCCGCCATCTGGATGATTGTGTGTGCAGTCCAGATATTAAACGGACTCTTTTGTAAGGAGGAGACTTGGTCCAGCAAGCAGATCCACACAGAACACCCTCCTCCATCCCCCATGCAAGCTTCTTTGGCTGCATAAACTGCGCTGATGCTTGGCACCACCAAAACTGATGTACCTCTTGGGCACAACCCACTCCAGAGAAGCACCTTCACAGTGTCTACTGATTTAAAATGTCTCGCACAAGAGAATTGCCGGGTATATTTAGCCAACTGCAACATCTGGACCCCTTTTCATATATACATGAAATACAGTGACTCTTAACACCAAAGAAGAAATCTGGTGAAGTTGATGCTTAGTTCCTTTTATTTAGGGATATAAGCTCCCTTTCTAGATTGCAGCGTATTCTGTTGGGCACAGAATTCTAAAGGTTTTCTAAAAGTTGCAATAGTAACAACACCCAGCAGATGCTGAAGATGGGAAACAATGCTGGGGGAGAGTTGGGTAGTCATGCATCCTGCCTGGGACCCCTATGCTAGCCAGTTGTCACAGATGCAGTGGAGGATGCTGTCCCATCGTCACTGTTGAAGGAGGATTTAACTATTAGTTGAAGGAACGTTCATTCACTTCTTCCCACAGCAGCCACTCCACCCCTCTGGAATTGCTACACAGTGTCAGGAGACTCCACAAAATGGGGTGAGCTCTGCTATGTGTGCGGATGAGAGAGAATCCCCGACTCCCTTCCTCAAGGGGAGGCCTTCCTCTCAAGGTAGGCTGATCCTAGATTCAGTCCATGGGATAGGCTGGAGGGTACCATTTTGTCTTTCACCTCAGGCAGCAAGAAATGTTGTCCCAGGCCTGCACACAAGCTTTTTTCCTTTCTTGCTACACAGTATCCTTCACTCACTGATTGGTCTTTTGGTTTTCTGCATACAGGGCATTGATTAAGTATGGGCAACTTGGAAATTTGGACAGGCAAAGTTCATTTAGGTCCCAATCCTGCACCCATTTACCTGGGAGTAAGCCCTGTCAAATTACTGGTAGACAGATTACACTTACGAAATTTCTGTTGTAGAGATTTCGACAGGTTTAAAACAGTCTTCATAACGTGACTGGGGCCCTTAATGTTCAGATAATATTCAAGTAATTTTTCTGCTTTGTCCATTGGACTAATTAACACTAATGGCAAAATCTAGCAAATGCTAGAGAGAACTCACAATTCACTGAAAGCTCTGAACCACAACTAAACATACAGAGTAGTTCTATGCATGTTTACTCAGAAGTAAGACTACTATGCTCAGTGGAGCTTATTTTCAGTTACACATACATAGGACTTTAGCATTAGAGTTGAATTGTGGCCTAAGTAGTCTGCAAAAGTGAAGTGTTAACTTTTATTGCCTCTTGTATGGTCAGAATCCAGTGTGGTTACATATTTCCTCATTAGTTTACTCAGTTGCCTTCATGAATATTTTTTGAAAACGTATTTTTATTAGGTTTTACTTGGATTAACCCCAGTCTTTTTATTAATTCTTGCTTATAGCTTTGCACACTTTGCATTGAGTCTTCCTTGCCTCATCTGCTTCATCTCTTATTCGGCAATCATTTCTTGTTCTCTAGATTAGTTGCCTGTTCTACACTGTAGAATTAACCAAACTCAACACAGTAAGGTAATTTACTGTAAATTAACCCTATTTATTTATTTAATTTAAGGTATTAAATTAAGATAAGATCCAAGTTCTTATGCAGGGTGGTATATAGTTGAAGATACTGTTCCCTTCTTCTCTGTATGGCATTTCAGTGCAATTCCAGACAAAGCTCCATTAATCTGAATGGAACTTCCATCAAGGTAGATAAGGCAGATAACCTTAAAATTACACTGTAAAACCAGCAGCTCAATAATGTGGCTATTCAGGCAGTGACAGAAGGTGAGAAACATGAAAGCTGTAAAAGAAATTATCTCTTCCTGCTATCCCTTATCTTGGCTTGTTAATATTCTACTAGGCATCCTTTTTATATTTTAACCTAGTGGAACCCTTTAGTTGGCTACTGCCTAGGAACTGGTTGAAACCAGTTGTTGAAGCATTTCCTGCTGTTCAAATCCACAGAGCTTTAAACCTAAGTTAGAGTTTCTTTCTAATATCAATATCGAATCAAACGGCACAAATTTTTAAAACACCAATACCCTCATTGGTAAACTCTTCTGTAACCCCAGCCTCTCTTTCTTTCACCCCAAAAGGACGCAAGGAGAGGGAAATGTGCTTGTTATCACATCACATGGTGATAACAAGCGCATCTCAATCATATCACAATATAATCATATCATATAACAATCATATCGCATTGGTTAGGGCAGAAAGAAACCACAGGTGGTTGAATGAGGGGTCGCTGCCTGTAATAAGGACACTTTCTTGCTTGTGCTGAGGTTATCCCTCTCCAAAGCCACTTCCAAGTCTCCTGCAAATGAATGGTATTCCTGAGCCAGGAGAATAGGTGGTTTAAAGGCCTTATGATAGCCATCTGCAAATATCTGAATGACTGACACAACAGAGCAAATTTGATTTCACCTCCTCCAGAGGGTAGTTATGAACAAGGAGTTTTCAAATGAGGATTTTGACTAAACATTCAGAAAAACTTGCTGATGGTATGAGATGTTGGACAGGACGGTGGATGTGGCAGAGGCTACATGGCCACCAAGCAGTGATGCTACAACAGCAAATTTGCAGCACTGTTAGGAGGCAGGATAGCTGATGACCTTTGAGGTCCTTCTAATTCTTGGCATCGATGATTCCTGGCAAAAGTAAGCTGCTAGGTGCTACCAGTATGTTTTCAGACACCAAGCACATTACAAGAAGTTTTAGCTCATGTGTCTCTGAACTGGCTGAGACCAGATCTGAGAATGTATCCTTCCAGTCAGGAGACAGAGTCAACTTTGTGACTTATGCAGAAATTCCAATGTGCAATCTCTTTCAAAGGGTGTAGTTTTGCTGTCTGTCTCCACACAGGAAGGAAGGAAGCAAGTCCAGAGAAGTCACTCATGCAAGAGACACAAGGGTTTAGGGTCTTTTGGGGTGAATCCTTCTTCTTGTTCCACAATCTAATTTTGAAATAAAGCAAAATCCTGTGATTCGTTTTAGGAATATTAGTATGGTGCTTCAGTGTTGCTCATTATTGTGTTGTAATTAATTTTTATTGTGTTTTATCTCATGACTATCAGCCACCCAGAGGTGCTATGGCACAATTGGGCAGCATACAAATGTTTTACATAAACAAATTATGCCAGGACAGGTACTCCCTTTACACATTTATATATTACATTTATAACCTGTGTTTTTTATTTTGAAAAACTCAAAATGGCTTACATCATTCTCCTCTTGCTCTCACTCTTATCCCCACAACAACAACCCTGTGAAGTAGGTTGGGCTGAGAATCTGTGATTGGCCCAAAGTCACCCAGTTGGCCCCATGGCTGAGCAGGGATCTCCTGAGTCCCAGGTCCACACTTTTAACCACTACACAATGCTTCTCTGGAATCACATAAATATAAGCAAAATGGACTAGTCTTTAAAACTGCTGGTATCTGTATTGAAAATATGTGGCCTGTTTTGAAAGAATTCCTGTTTCGGTTATTGAACCCTAGGACATGGCAAGTTATGAATCAAAATGAATATTCTGAGAGCCAGTGTGGTATAGTAGTTAGACTGCTAAGCTGGGACTTCAGAGATCCAGGTTCTACGTAGTCCCCACATGGCCATGAAGCTTGCTGAGTGACTTTGGGCCAGTCACTGACTCTTAGTCTAAACTACCTCACAGGATTATAATGATCATCATCTAGAGAGAAGGATTATGTAGGCCTCCTTGGGTTCCTTACAACAGAAAGTCAGAATATAAAAATGATACATAAATATGTATGTATATAAGTATCTCAGGTGTGCAAAATTAAACTTCAGGATATCTAGATAGCGCCATGTTTTTGATAACCTATTTTACAGCTCCATCTCATTTTTCTTCTCTATAAAGAAAAGAGTCACATTCTGTTTTCCAACACTATTTGCAATTCTGTTGAGAAAATCTAGTTTGATTTTTTTCTTTAGAAAGCAAGAAGTTGACATAAGCATAAGAAACAAAGAACATCTAAGATTCTTACATTTAGCATTTTACTTACATTCATTCATTCTTTCCCTTCGCTTTTTCAGTTTTATAGTGCTGCTAAATACTTACCCGACAGAGCCTGAAAGCGCTGTATCACAAATACAACTAATGCAGAGATAAACAAGGAGCCCAAGAAATAAATCTGCAATGAATTCAGAAACTGCTATTAGTTACAGCCACAAAAGACCAGACATTATTCAAAGGACAATGGACTCATTACATACCAGAGTAGACTGCAACATATTCTCCCCAAACATTCTCAGGTGAAAGTAAAGCAAAGCTAATGTGCATGGACTAACTGATTTTTCTTTGCTATGATTCCAACACCTACAGACAATAATAAAAAGGCAATGTAATAATTCATGCATAAATACAAAAAAATGGTTTCTCAGGCACAAGTCTCAAGCGGGGTCATCAAGGCCATGCCATATTGTGACCCCAGCAATTCTCCATGGGGCACAGGAAGTTAGTGGGCATGGCTACATCTCCCCCAGTTACATTTGATTTTTCAGTCCATATGTTAAATGAGGTTACAGGTACAGCTGCTGCTCCCCTGGGAAAGATGTTCCTTGTTACTCCAATTTGTGAGCAGAGATAATAAGGAGATTCCCATCTGATTCCCATTTGATGGGTATCTAAAGGAACGCTTGCGTCCATATATGCCCTCCTGCCCCTTGAGATCAGCAACAGATGCCCTTCTCCGGGAACCCTCTGTGAATGATATTAGGAGGGTGAGTACCTGAAGGAGGGCTTTCTCTGCGGTGGCGCCCCATCTATGGAATGCGCTCCCCAGAGAGGTCCGCCTGGCGCCATCGTTATTTGTTTTTCGGCACCAGGCTAAGACCTTTTTATTTAAAACTTACTTTAATTGTTAATTCATTGGTTATTTATAGGATTTTAAATCTTTTAAGCTGAGATGCACCGGGTTTTAATATTTTTATTGTACAATTTGTTATGTTTTGTTCTTATTGTGAGCTGCCCCGAGGCTTTGTTGTGATGGGGGTGGCATAAAAATGTTTTAAATAAATAAATAAATCCCCATTCTGCCCTGAGACACTGTAAAGGGCAGGATACAAAAAAATTTTAAATAAATAAATTGCTCCACTGGCCCACTGGGAAGGGCAGCAGCAAATGGGGAATCCCTTGGTTATCTCTAATCTGATTGACGGCAGTAAGGAGCTCATTCTCCCCAAGCTACTGGTAGCTTCCAAGCCAGGGGTGAGATTTAGGAAGGGGACTGGGTGGGTTCTGTACAAGGGTCACAAACTTCTGTGGGCTAGATGAACAACCTGCATGGGCTGGATGAGGCCCATGGGTCAGAGATCCCCCCCCCCCCCCCCCCCGTCACAACTGGCCAACACTTAATTTTAAGGAAACAAGCTTGGTCACTGGCTCCATGTTGTTCTGCTATCCTAAAAATAAGATTTTGCGTTCTTGGTGGGAGTGACACAGTCACAGAAGCATCTTTAATGCGATTACGATGATGCGGAGGAAGAGAATGGGGCTATACCTGCTGGCCCCACACCTGCATCTCTGCCACTATCCATGGGGGGGGGGAGTCAGCATGGACCCCACCCGGAGGGCTGTCACAGGAGGGCTGTCACACACAGAGTGGTCCGCCCCCTTCAGACCTTTATTAAATCAATCTTCTATATTGATAAAAGGTGACAAATGCTTTAAAAACAGAGTGCGGTGGTTAAACTCTCTAGACCTAATGGAAAATCAATATATACTTTGAACAGAGCGAATATTTTAATTACAAAAAAGAGCAAAGAAGAACAAGAAAAGATGTACCTTTCATAAAGCTCCCGACAAAGGGTCCTATAATTGGAGTGGATGGCCTTGTCAATGTTTAAGAGATCTAAAATATGTGCAGGGATGGAATAACCTTCTTCCAGAAGAAGGGCCAAATTAAAGAACCCCTAAAACATAAAGACCAAGGTATTCATTTACATTATGTCTTGTCTTAGACTCAAGGCTTATGGACCATCTTCACAACATTTCTGTGGATCTCATTTCACACACGAGGGTCTATGGCGCAGGAGAGCCTGCACGGCTTGTGCTGTGCCTGAGCTGGACTCTGATGGAACACAGCTGCCTCAGCAGCCAACTCGCACCCGTATACAGAGATGTGCCTTTGTCGAGGTATTACACCTTTGCATTGTTTAAAGCAGGTACAGGGAAGCATTTTCCTGTGGAGCTGAACATCACATCAGTGGACGTGGTCAGCATCAAAAGTGGGCAGGGCCAGAGCCCCGAATGGGAGGAGTTACAGATTGTTTCTTGCCTTTGTTCAGTTCACAATGGGAAATATATATATATATATATATATATATATATATATATATATATATATATATAATATATGTATTTTAATTTTTATTTATGTGTTGTAAGCCGCCCCGAGGCTTCGGCGAATGGGGCAGCATAAAAATGTCTTAATAAATAAATAAAAAGACATCTATTTCAAGGCATACTAATTTTTCAACTGGTGCAAGGCTTGCACCATTAGCTTTGCAGCTGGGGGCAGAACAGAACACTGTTTATAGCATCAACAAACTGAAGCAGGGCTAGAGCAAATGGGTATGGTCCAGGGAAATGGGGCATGGCCTGAAGAGAGTCTGGAAATTAGACCTGAGGTTGTCCACACCTGCTTTAAGGATAAAACTTAAAACTCATTTGATAAAGGGATGGCGCGCACACTCCTCAAAAGAAATGGATGTGGGTAGGGTTTGAAAAATAGCAATCTGCGGAGTAGCAGTAACATTGCAGGTGTCTGGCACTGGTGTTTTCAAAAGGATTCATCAGGGTGTGGCTGGTAGATTTATTAGGAAAAAAATTCAAGCTGGGAGCTAGATGGGGGAAAGCCAACTGGAACCATAGCAAAGGGTTAAAGCCTCCTATTGTGGGGTTTGTGTTCTGATCCAGTTCACATTCCAACCTACTCCTACATACTGGCTCATTGTTAAAAAGGAATCCATGCACAGGCAAGCTATATGCCAAATGTGACATTCACTTTAGCCCCAACATCAAGCTCACAACTGAATTGCTATTAGATGCTAAAATTGGAAAGCTCAAAATGGCAACACAGGCAAGCTACCTACCTGTAAACATTTTATAGCATTCAGATATTTGCCAGATCCCAATGGCTGGTGAGCATCAATTGGTTTAAGTGCCCTGATGGAATATTTAATTCTTCACTGTGGCCTACAGCAGCAGCCACAAATGTGTCAGCCCCATTACTGTTCAAATGCTCCACTGACAAGACCTACAAATGTTTCAGTCAGATGGAACATGGTACGGATTTACAGACCATTCTATAGATGTGAAATGGCATCAACAAGGTCCCAGACATAGCCTGTACCACTACCTACCTGTGCATCTCCATCTAATGCTGCTTGTGCATACATTTGTATCGACCTATCCAAGTTCTTGGATTGGTTCCAATATCCATAATAGTAGAAGTCTCCCACCTTCAAATAAGCTATGAATAGAAGCAGACATTTGCTCAGACAGAGAGATTGGTTCATGTCATACACAACTCTGGGTATGACACAAATTGCAATGGCTTGGAGTAGGCGACAGCTACCCAACGCTATGAATTAAATAAATGATCAACTGATTGTTGTTTAACAGAGCCAGGAGGAAGTCATTTTCCATTACCAAACAGCATACAGACAACATTATCTTTAAAATGTTTTTATACTTACCAAATGAGGGAGCATAGCTTTGAGAAACTGCAAAATTATAATATCTCCAAGCACAGTCAGTAGCCAAGTATCTTTTTGCCAGATTCTAGGGAGGGTGGGAAAAAGAATAGCTCAGTGTGTTTTCCAAGCAAAACATTTAATAATTTAAAATGACAAGAGCCTGTGAAGAGATTTACTTACTGGTCTTTCTTCACAGAGATGTGCAAGATTTGTCTGCGAGACCTCAATTCCGGTCTCTGCAGAAAGAATGTAATACAGCAGGGCTTCATGCCTAAAATTGGAGAGTGAGAGAAATAGGAGAATGCACACTGAGGATGGCAGAACTTCGGAAATGCTTTAACGCCCAGTTGTTTTCAGACACTAAAGTTCCATAGAAGCTTATGGACCTCAGTGAAAAACTATTAGTAGCAGGTGAGCTTTTCTGAAGGGCAACTTGTTCACTGCCACTAGATATTAATTGGGAATGTGCCGTTGCAGAGGAACATTGGTAATGTTTAGGATACATTCTCGACTATCCCAGAGTGACAATCAATCTGGTGAGTGTGCCATATGATTAGTGTGTGTGCCTTAAAGCATCTCCTGGAATCATCTACAGCATGCAGGAGTTCCTGGGAAGACATCTAAGTAGAAAGTGATCCACCAAAGCAGCAAGCTAGAAAAATGCTGGATTAGATGTCCACATTATTAGAGGCTGAAGTAAACATGGCAATGACATAACTGAATTCAGGTCATATGGATTTCATGGGAAATAGTAGTGTGGTACAAACTATTTTAAACACAGCATGTGTGACTAGGAGGAAGGAATGGAACCCTTCTGTACTCACTTCTCCTGCCCCTGAGACACACAACCACACGCTTCTCAGATTTGAGGAGGGGGCACTGGAGATTATTTCTGGACTCAATGGCCCACAAAGGGAAAGGCAAAAAAACAAAGCAAAGCTTGCCGCAGAGAAGCCATTTCAGGAGGAAATTCACAGGTTGAATAAATAAGGATTCCAATTTTCCTTTCTGCCAGCCCATGCTGTTCTTTATATGGGCCTACCCTGTCCTGTATATTTGATTCAGGCATATGGGTCTGCCAGCATCAGGTCTAGTAGGCCATGGTAAACTATTTATAATCCTAAATGTATCCCATATAGCTGTATGAAACTTTAAAACCCCCCTGTAAATAGTAGCTTCTTGGGCATCAATCAGGATTAGGACAAGAGCTGGGTTTGTTTGTTTTTAACCTTCCCTGTGTCTCCTAACTCTTCCAAAGATGCTTGTAGCCTCAGGTTGAAAACTTCCATCCGTGCTTTCCTCTGGTGCAGAATAATGAGTGAGTTTTAGTGCACAGGGCTGGAAATAACGAATCACTCTCCAAAGCAACAGCTACATCTACTGGTCAAAAGATCAGAAGTTCAGTGGCTTCAGCTGCCTGTATGCATGTGGAAAGAGTTGTAGAAAGTGGTGCTGAGTCCCACAAGTAATGTGTCTAAATAATGCTTCAACAGAATGCTGGATGTGACTGCATGGATTGAGGTCTATTGGATTTTAGCTACTAAGAATGGGGCAGGCAACTGTCAATGATTTTGTTTACTGATTTTCTGCTATGGGCATCAGAGTATCTTGGACTTTCAGAGCCAAGGCGGAGGAAACAACGGAGATGCATGATCAGATGTTCAACACTTTACATTTCAGCAAACTGCATCCCTTGTGTGTGTGTGGTGTGTTGCTCCCTAATTGCACCTGTGACAGCAGCACAAGGGAGAAGATAACTTTTCTGCAGCACTGTTTCCCAAACGCAAACCATTCATCCAGAGCTGCTTTTTGCCATATCGCAGAAAACTCAAAGGGACTGGAGGTCTGATAACAGACACCAAGTGTCTTTCTTAGTTTGGCTTTGCACTGGTAGGTTATATTGGGCCATGGCTTTATCAGGAACTGAAAGTTCTGATAGGTCTGTCGGGAGCAACAGAGCAACAAAAGGAACAGATTTGTAATTATTCTTATTAAGAACATAAGAAGAGCCCTGCTGGATCAGGTCAAGGGAGCACCTAGCCCAAAAATGGCCAACCAGCTACCCACAGGAAACCCACAATAGCACCATTCTGCCCATGTTCCCCAGCAACTGGCACACACAGGGACACTGTTAATACTTAAGACAGCAGTTATTTCAGCAGTCAGTGTTGTTATTTAGTGTGTCTAGCTCTTACAATAAAGTACAGAATTTCCATCTTTTTCTGTTTTGCTTTGATCTCCAACAAGAACATCAGAACACCATTTTATTTCACTGTATTAGAGAAAACACACCATCTATTTACAAAAGCCAATATTCAGTAACAGGATGCCCAGAAAAGGGAGCCACAAGGATTGCTGGTATCATGTAGTGTTTACGCTCATGAACTCCAAATCCGCTGTGACTCAGTGGTGACCTTGAGCTGGTCACCAACTCTCAGCCTGAGCTACTCACAGGACTGTGATAGAGAAGAGGGGAATCCCATCCACCACACTGGAGGACAAGGCAGGATAAGGATAACAAAGAATTAAACTGATAAACAATGGTTCAAGAGCACTAAACCTACCAAGACAATTCCAGATATGAATTGAGCGCTTTCCGGATGACATGGCCTAAGTAGCCATTCTTTTCTGCCACATATTTTGCCCAGCTGTAAATCAAAATGAGGAACATTAAGACTAGAGGCCTGCAGCTTCTTGACTGGCAAGTATCTAAATCTAACACACCCCTATCAGCAGTGTGCAGAACAATATCCTCTTCCCCAGTGTGCTGTCCCTCTGCTCATCTCTGCAGGGGTGGAAGCTTTGGCAGCAGCCCTCAAACGGTAAAGAGGGAACATTCGGGGTATTCCAGAGATTGTTTGAGCTGGGCATTCCTCAACTGCATGGAGGTCTCAGACCAGCCATCTCTTCCTTTCTTCCTGCCACCCCAGTACTGACAGGGAGGAATCTACAGGAGCTGAGCTTCTGCATGAGCAGAGTAGATGACATGGTGTGGGAGATGCCAACTCCAGAGTTGTATTGAAACAGGGGCTCCTGTTCCCCTGAGCTCACCAGATTTTGTGCCCACTTCTAATCCACTTATCAGAAAGCAAACTGAGTCAAGTTCTTTTCACAGATAGGTAGTGATTTGCATACTTTCAATATGTCAGTAGAATTGAACAAACTGGTGCCAGGAAATCTATCATTCATTTGTTGTTGTTAGTCGTGAAGTCGTGTCCGACCCATTGCGACCCCATGGACAACATTCCTCCGGCCTTCCTGTCCTCCACCATCCCCCAGAGTCCACCTAAGCTCACACCAACTGCTTCAGTGACTCTATCTAGCCACTTCATTCTCTGCAGTCCCCTTCTTCTTTTGCCAGCTATTGTTCCCAGCATTTATTTATTAGGTTTGTATAAAAGCCATTATGCACCCTGGGCAGCCATTTCAATAACACACATGGCTTTACAATAACTAGTACTATTTGGGCAAATAGCACTAAGCCATATGCTTTCCGGATACCATTTTACACAAAAACAACCATTTTAGCACAAAACAGCACCATAAAATATATGTTTGGGGAGACTGTAAAAACAGAACTAAGCCATGTGATTTGGGGTGTTGTTTTGGTGCAAAATGGCACCTAAAAATTAGTTGAGGGACATTTGTGCAAATCCTGCTAAAGCACATGTATTAAGATGCCATTTTGCACAAAAATGGCACCTGAAAATCATGTGGCTTAGCACTATTGGCTCAAATAGTGCTAGTCACATTAAAGGCATGCGCTTTCCTGGCACCAATTTGTGAAAATTCTGTTGGCAATATGAACAACCAGGCAAAATGCAGCCTGTCTTACAAGTGGAAGGCTGCAAACTAGCTTGACTCACACTGCAGCAAGTTGGCACCAAGTGATAGGTGGCGAACCAGAATCTGGGGAGAGGCAAACTGAGAAAATCTGACAGAGTTCCACTCCCCAAATGGATTCCTCACACATCCCCAGCCAACCAACATGTTCTTGGAGGGGACGATGGAGCACGGAGTGCAGTTGCTTTCACTACCAAAGAAAGAATGGAGGCTTTCTCTCCCTCCTTGAAACGTGCTGCTAAAGCTTCACGGGTGAAAATCATCTCAGACCATGAGGAGACACATCAAACTGTGTACAAACAGAGGAAACATTTGCCATCACATTACTTACATTACTGCCTTTTCAGGATCCTTGGGAAAGCTTGGCAAATTCCCTGTAATATAATATTGAGAACATCGCAACATCCCTTCCATGTGTCCACTTTCTGCTGCTTTATGGAAATACTCTGAAGCAATAGTCTGCAAAAAATGATAGAAAAGTATAAATGTATCTTATTTGTTATTTATTTACCTATTATTAAAGTTATTTATAGACCATCTTTCATCATAGGAGACAACAAGGCAGTTTACAAAATAAAACCACTGCAATAAAACCAGTTAAACATATAATAAATATTCAGAAATCTATAAAACCAGTTCAAAGTATTTATTTAAACTTCTATTAGTTTTAAATAGCTCTCTCTCTCACACACACACACACACATCGAAAACATAAGCTTTAAAGTATTGTAGCAAAAGTTATTAGCTCCAATTTTTGTACACCAAATAAAATATTAAATAAAATATATTTTAATATAAATAAAATAATATAAAATAAAAGTTCTCTATTTGTATTTCTCATTTGAGAAAACTGGCAGGAAAGTACTGATTAATACTGACTCCGTGCCAAGAATAAGATAAATTCATCTGTTACACTTGCCCACAAAGTTGCCTCGTTTGAGGCAGGAGACCAAAGAAACGTCATGAGAACTGCAAATGAGTTTTTTGGGTGCACAAACATATTCCTTTTGCTCTACCATATATGTTAATCTGGCTAAATAGATCTTCCATGCTTTTTAAACAATCAAAATATATTTGCTATGCTTGGATCAGAAGTGAAAGTGTGAAGAAAAAATATACCCCATACAGTAACATGTTTATCAAATGCTATTGCTTGTCTCTGGCCCTGAGGTAGGGATCTGGCGGGGAGGGCCGGTGCAAATTCTCCCCTCCTTCTACTGGAGTTTCATGATGTTGTTGTGTCTTCTCATTTTTAGCATTGTTTTATGAACTGTATCTACTCAGGTTTACTCAGGGGCAATGGAAATAAACAGGCAAATGTTTGTACTCACATGGTTTCTACCAGTTACTCCTGGATAAATTCCATCTAAGTACAGGACACCAAGATTGAAGGATGCATCAGGATTGCCCATAGCTTCAGCTTTTAACCAGTACTTAGCTGCCTTTGCATAGTCCTTTTTAAAGTTATGATAATACCAGCCTAGGCCATTCACTGCCTGAGGCAGTCCCTGGAAGTAAGACATGGACAATCTGAAAGTCATTCAAGTTGTGGTAGTGTTTCAGTTTCCACATTAAACAAAGAGAGATATGGGGAGAATCACACGCTATGCAGTCTTCTTTTTTTAAAAAGTAAAAGTATTTGTAGTTCAACTGGCAGACCCCATAGGGCAGTCTGCACTCAAATGGTTGTCTTCCCAAATATAACTCCTGGCTATTTTCCACACTTCTTGCAACATGCCTAAGATTCCAAACATGCAGAAAGCACACAAGACGTATGCTTTTGGAACTTATTACAAGAGGCCCACATCACATGAATGACCTCTTGGCAGATTTAGAAATATCAACCTTGGCATCCTTCTGAAAAGTTTGGGTTGGGAGTGAGCAGGAGAGTTTGGATTGGGAATGAGCAGGAGACGTTTACACTGGTTCCACTTTTATCTGGAGAACCACTTTCAGAAGGTCAACTCCTTGGCATTGAACCTTGGATTCCCCCAAGCCATTCAGCATATGCATGATACCACTGTAAGGTCATCTAGGAGAAAGAGTGCAATGCTATTAGTATGTTGCTGACCCATAGCCACATTTCTCTTTTCCATCAGGTCTAGGTGAGATGCTGAAAGTGTTTAATTAGTGGTTAGCCATGGTAATAGAATGGATGAGGAACAAATCAGTCTGAAACTAAGAGACAGAGGTACTGGTCCCTCACCCATCTCTTCTGAAGGAGGCTGCACTCCCACTAAAGGATTACTTTCATTCTGGGGATCCATCTCTGTCACTAGAGGCACGAGTGTCCTTTGTGCCATGGATCACCTTTTACCAGCTTAGGCTTGTACATGAACTATGTCCCTACCTACATGGTGACCACCTGGTCTCAAGTGTGGTGTAGTGGTTAAGAGCATGGGACTGGGACCCAGGAGATCTGGGTTCTAGTCCCCGCTCAGCCATGGAGCCAACTGGATGACTTTGGGCCAGTCACAGACTCTCAGCCCAACCTACCTCACAGGGTTGTTGTTGTGGGGATAAGATGGAGGAGGAGATGTAAGCTGCCTTGAGCCCCTTGTAGGAAAAAGGCAGGATATAAATTGGGAAAAAACAATGATCCATTCGCATTTAACTTCCTGCATGCATTACTGCAACAGCATCCCAGGGATGTGCATGTTGTTTCGAATCACCATCTTATGCATGCTGCCAGTTGTAGCTCCCTTTTGTCTAAACTTGCATAGGAGTGCACATTGAGTTCAACATATCACAAGAGTGCTGACTGGAATTGGACATTACAATCCCAATATGTCTTCTTCCGTGGATAGATCTACTAGAGCCAATCATTCTTTTCCTTTTTATTTCCCTTTTGATGACTCCCATCACAGACTTGTGTTTTGGAATAAATACATGATCAATTTTATACTTTTTATTCACAGTTATATACCCTCCTCTAGTATTTATATCTTTATTAGCATTTAGTTTACACAAAAGATCTATGTAGCAACTGATTGCATATTTGTATGTTATTTTTTATTGGAAGATAAATTTATCAGATGATTAACAAATTCATTGGAAGATTAAATTTAAAATAAATAGTTTTTATATTAAAAAACCTATACCAGTATTACACCAACGTTACTGATTCCCAGTTCATTCCCACACTCAATTCAAAGTGCTGGTTTAAACCTTTAAAGCCTTTTAGGGCCACATGGTCTCTGAGAATACTGATACAGGTATTCGGTATTTTTAGTGAGACATATTTTTATCATCCATTCCAAAATACCAATTGTCAAGAAATGGATAAAAGGTGCCCTGATGAAGAGAAGGGAAATGGCTGTTCAGTGAGAATGCTCCTAATTTGAATGTATTCCGTTCCACAAATGTGTGGGGCCCTGGGTTCAATCTCTTTCTGGTTAGAGAGACTGTATGTTTGGACAGGAAAAAGCCCTAGTGTGGTGTGGTGGCTGGAGTGTCAGACTGGGACTTAAGATTCTGGGTTCTAGTCCCCCTTCAGCCATGAAGCTCATGGGATGACTCTGAGCCTGTTACTCACTCTCAGGAAAGACTCGAAGGAAAGACTATATTCAAGACCCAGCTGCCCTGAAACAGTGACTGAACTGAGCATGAAGTCCTTTTCAGGTTCCCGTCACCTGAAAACAAGTATGTGAAATGGACAGCAAGGTGGTGTTATACTGCTGCAGCAAAAACAATGTCTTATGCTACCTTAAAAACCAACAGATTTATTATGGGCTGGCCCTTTGATGGGCACTTCCCATGCTGTTAATAATTTGTTCCAACCTTCAGTTTAATCACAGAATTCATATCTGAACTTCCTTTCCTTCCTCACCACCACATATACTCCACTGTGCTGTAGAACAGCACAAATGCATGTGAGAAAGGCACACTTTGCTTTCATAATTAAACATCAAATTTCCCCTATTCTAAATAAAGCACTCTCCAGAAGTGCTGATTAGACACAGAAGCAAAACTGGAAGGTCACCTGTAAATATATGAAAAGGACAAGGAATGACAAGCATGTGATAAATGCCTGATCTAGTAAAGCTTTTCATCAGATGAAAGATGGAAAGAATGAGAGAGAGGAGGGAGAGAGGGGGAGAGGTGGGGGAGAGAGGAAGGAAAACGGGGAGGGAGGGAGGTGTCTGTGTTGGCCAGTCCACAATCACCTGGACCATATAAACTTTTTAAAAGATGTTACCTTTGATGCAGCTTTTCTCATCAGATGTAGAGCTAATCTCCTGTTCTTTTTCACACCTTGACCCTAAGCAAAGTCAAAGGTCAGTTTTAGAGATGTGCAAAGTCCTCTTATTTCATCCTTAATCAAAAATGGTATCACCTGTTTGAGACCCCAATTAAAAATGGGCATGTACTTCTCTCCCCAGTGTAGGATTTCATTCATTTCCTATTCAGGTGCTGAATGGCTTGCTAATGCCTCATAAAATCAACACATCCCAGGTTTGTGGAAGGTGCCATAACTGCACAACGGCATGTGCAACAAGTCATTTTTCCCTTAGTGTTGTTCTATTGATGCATAATTGCAAGCATGAGCTTTTCTTTTGTGAATCAAAAACATAGACATTTGTTCCACTCATACTGTATTTTTCATTTTTCTGTTTTATTATAAGCAAATGCTACTGCAGCTGCACTTTTACCAAGCATTATATAAATAAAGTAGCTCTTCACTTCCTTGGAGTGTCATCAATTCTGATGCACCGCAGTAGAATATTAAATAGAGCCAGAAAATGAAACCAATACGATCAGTCATTCCCACAAAAAGGTCAGAGATCTATCAGGAGCTTACTAAACTATCAACTGAAATTACATGATGAGCAAACTTGAGAGAAGCTGATGGTACTGGCACATTTATGAGACTAAGCAATTACATCCACCCTGATAAAACTGGATTAGCTTCTGGATTATGTAAGCCACCTTGGGTTCCTTGCAGAAAAAAGGCAAGATACTGAATAGATAGATAAATAGGTAGAACACTGTTTAATTGCTAAGATGGCTTTGGCTTCAGTAGCAGTTCCAATGTCTGCAGAATGATAGAAAAGGACAAAACATACCAAAGAAATGGATTAAGAGTCATGGTTGACTAAGAAGAAAAATGCAAACCAGTTATGTTATATTCAATTGCTTTGAAAAGATTTGATCTATAATACTATAGCAAAATATTAAAAATATAATTGTATTATAAAAATATTCTATAGGTGTTAATTTTGAAAAAAATCTTACTTTGAATAAAACAATGGAATAATCATATATGGATATTAGGTCTCCAGTTTCCAAGGCACCCTTTGCATACCACTTCACAGCCGCTTCGAGATTTTTTTCCACACCTTGCTGGCCCCAGAAAAGCATCTGTCCAAGACGTTGCTGAAACAGGACCAAAATGCTAATATATTTCACATTTGATATATAAAGATTAAATATAAATATCCATACAATTTAAGCAAGTTTTAATAGGGGCAGAGGATGTTTTAAGTAATTAAGAAAGACAGATACCTCCATAATATAAGGGCTTTTTCACAGTGTTGATCAACTCTTCTGTCTTAATGAGGGTGTATATTTGAATCCTACGCTGCCTGGCTTGGAATACAGAGTGGAAACACACGTCTGTCTTGGGCTACACACAAAAGTTTTATGCATACTCGGATGAGGATGCCTGAAGTCTGGATTGGTTTAAGTCCTAACCTTCAAGAGATGTGCAGGGCAACCATAAGCATTGATTCTGGCCAAGAGTAAGTACATCAGTGCTTTGAAGTGGTATAGAAAATATAATGAAAAGCTGAGAGACACTCTACCTGGGCAGCTACATCTCCTCTTACTGCTTCATGTTTCAACCACATAAAGATGCCACCATTTTCCTTGGTTTGTACTTTCAGTAATTCTTCATCCTTAAGTCTTATTTCTTCTACAAATGCCTAAAACCGAAAATAAAGATAACATGCATGAGTGAGAAAGATCTCATCCATACCACAGAAAGAATGCAATGTTTTCAAGTTTTGTGAGCCGCCCCGAGGCTTTGTTGCGATGGGGGCGGCATAGAAATGTTTTAAATAAATAAATAATAAATAAATAAGTGTTGTTCTGCTGTTTTCTAGCACTCAGAGCTATTAAAGTTTGCATTGAATCTATTTGGTAGCCAGTACAGCACTAATTTAAATGCACAAGGCCCAGGTTTTCCAGTCTGGTGCCTTCCAGATGTCTTAGACAACAAATCCCATTTTCCTCAAGGCTGGGGATGATGGAAAGTATAGTCCAGACAACTGGAGGGAATATCAGGCATGGCAACTGTTATTGGGAATGGATGGACAGAGTCTGGTTCAGACTAAAGCAATATTATATGTTCAAGCTTAAGTTAGTATTGGGAATACCATGCCAAACTTTGGTGACATAGTAGAGATTTAAAGCAAGCGTCAAAGCACTGAAGTAGGTAGAAAACTTCCTATCACTATTTTTTCCCAGGGAAAATTGCCCACTTTTAGTCAGTGGATTGTTTCATAAATACATTTAGCAACTAATTAATAAATATTGCATCAGTTAAATTGGAAACCTGAAATGGATATGACATTTGTGAACTCTAAAATCACAGCTGTAGTCAACTTTTTCCAGAGGACTGTCTCTTAGAAGCACATGTATGCATGCCCACATCAATGGAAGAACTCTACAGCGAATATTTTAAGGAGCAGTTTTATGGCCACTAGATGTGGTGAGTCAGCCAGAGGGGACTGAAGAAACTTGCTTGGAAGACAGCTGGAGCCTTTACAGTCGTTGCATTCTGAGGAGAGTACCACCAGTGGCACATGCAGTCTCCTGGTGGTGCCTCAGCCGCTTCTCATGCCCTGGGGAGGCAGCTGAAATTGGCCATCTCACTCCTTCTGCCCTTCAATAAGATGATGATGATGATTGCTGGGCAACCTGTGCAAATCATGTAAGACTCTTCTAAAATATCAGCTGGCCTTTGGTTTTATCTTACAAGACTTTACCTGATTTCTATCGATAGCATGTTGATCACGGGGTGTCTTTACAGCAACATCACTGTAGTAAGCATAGGCCAATTCCAGATCTTGTGGGTAACCGTTAACACCCTGGTAGTGCTTATATCCAAGGTTCATCAAGGCCAGCCTATCACCTCCCTGAGCTGCAACCAAACTATAGAGCAGTCCCTGGAAGCAATTAAAAATAGGAGTGTAAATTGAGTAATGGCTAACAAAAGTCATACATGAAAAAAGTAGAGATGCATTATCAGTATTTTGAACATGCTAGAACAGATTCAAAAGACAACGACGAAAGCACAATCATGCACTCTTGCCTTTTCTGTAGCCATTCATCTAGTGAAGGCATACAAATGGAGAAAGGCAGGTACAAAAATAGATTTTAATACGTCTGAAATTGATTTGAGAGGGACTCTGCTTCTCCTAGTATATAAAAACATTTCTCTTGTTCAGCCTGGCCCAACCTAGAGCCCTGCAGATTATTTTGGACTACAACTCATATCTATCTACAAGAGTCCCTAGGCTACCAAGTATGAAAGGGAGAGCTTTTTCAGTGGTGGCTTTTCACTTTTGGTGCTCCTTCCCCCAGGAGGGTAATTCATATGTTCGTAATTTGTATGTCTTGAGTGCTGTTTTTGGTTAAAAGGCAAGGTACAAGTCTGTCTCTTTTCCTTCCTTCCTTTTTTTTAGGGAGGGGACTGGAACAACTTCAGGATACCTGCTGTCCTGGCTGCCCCAGGCTCTTCCCTTGACTCCCCTAAATACCCCATTTAATGCATTCCCAAGGCTGTTTTCCTAAACTAAGAGAGCAGCCAGCCTATTTTATTGCACTTGCTGTGCAAGGGGAAAGAAAAGGAAGATGTGAGCTTCAGTTCCCAGCTCTGATTTCACAGCATTGCATTCAGCCTCAGAGATGGGAATCCAAACTATCCTATAGCTCCCAGATTATGCATTTTGAATAGTGGGTTAAGCATCTTTTAAATAAATAAGCATCCATCAGCACAGCCATCATGGCCAAAGGTCAGAGATTTTTGAGGCTGTTTGTGAGATTACAAATACTGTAAATGTCCTCGTTCAAGCAATCCTTGGGAAAAGTGAGTTTTCATTCCTGAGTCTTACCTTAGCTGGGTCTGCAGGCATGCCCAGTCCTATTTCAAAGATAACACCAAGAGCATAGGAAGCTTTGTGATATCCACAACAGCTGGAATCCATCAGTAACAACACAGAAGAGTTTATATAATGTAGGCCATCAGCTCTGGAAAGGTTTTGAGCAGCTGTTTCATATAACCTGTGTCCAATTTCTAACACCATGTCCTTTTGGCCTTTGGGTACTAAAATTATAAGAAATAATATACAGCTAAATTGCTGAGCTGTGGAAACAGGTAAGTTTGGATTAAGCAGTCTCAGTTTTCCCACAGTCTTATTGCTGAATAGGCTCAGGGCCTGTGATCTGATTATGTTATGTTATTAATCAGATGTTATTGTGATCTGATTATTACAATGCACTAGGACCTTATGCCATGCCAGTAACATAATAGACTCCCCTGGGGCATTGGGCATACTTTTCTTAGTATTTATCTGCCACAATGATAAATATAAAATAGGCTCCCATCTCTTAAGTGGCAATTCCTAAACTGTAGCCTAGGAACAGGACAGGACTGTCCTTAGTGCATTCAGGGAGAACCAAAGACCACAATGCAGATGACAGAGGAAAATGTTGAAGAGCCAGAGTTTCCTTGCGAAAATGCAGGAACTATAAATGGAAAGAAAAGAACGACTAAATTGTCCAATCACTAACACAAGAACATCAGAAGAGCTCTCCTGGATCAGACTGAAAGCTCATCTCATTCAGAACCCTGTTCCCACAATGGCCAATCAGAAGCCAACAGGAGCCCCAAAGCGGGACATGAGCAAAATAGCACCATACCATGTGCCTTCCCAGCAACTAGCATTTCCAGTATTAAGAAACATGCTGCCTCCAATAGCAGAGGTAATATTTAGCCGTTATGACTAGAAGCCATATATGGCCTTATCATCCATGAATTTGTTTAATCCCTTTTTAAAGAATGGTGGACATCATACTGCCTGCAAATCCTGATACTGCTTCATTATGGGGCTATAGCATACAGCTGAAGAAACTAGGGGATTAATAACTTTTGTTGCTAGAATGAATTAATTCCTATTTTGTGGCCTCATGTTAACTGTGTGAATAAATATATTACTTTCTAGCAAATGTTGATCCACCTCTTCAAGCTGTCTGAACACGCTGTGGTATTTTTCCCTTAGTTCTTTTGCCCAGCTGAAGGCAATGCATTTGAGGTTTCCTCCATATTTGTTGCTCATTTCTAGATAATAGTTTTCACGAAGGCCTGAGGGGAAAAAAAAAACTGAATCACCCAAGCATCATCTGGGAAACTTCTCACATACATACATATATACATACATACATACATGTTTCCTCAAAATGTTTGAAGATGGTATTGACCTGAATTCATCTTAGGTTGTCCGAGGATAAGACTATGGGCATACGAAATACAAAAGGCATTCAGCAGATTCAAAAATAAAGCCTGATCTAGATTAAATGGCATTTACTCCCCAGTAACTCTAATTTGGATGGCAGCCTTAAACTGGGTTTAATACCACAACGCCCAGCATTCCTCATCCAGCAATGCTGGAAACTGTAGGGTTTTTTCCTGTCTAAACATGCATAGAATCGTTCCCTTACAAGTCATTCTCTCATTTTCTACTAGTGAAGTCCTGCAATAAGATTCTGTCTAAAGATTTCTAAGAAATAATGCTTGAAGCTTTTACAATTTACAATTACAAAAAATTACAATTCCCAGGATTCCTTGGGGAAACCATGACAGTTGTAGTTGTAAAGCAAAGCAAAGCAGACTTGTAACATAGATATGTCCAATCAGTAAACATAGTGTAGGTATACTCATCAATATTTTATCATTTGTGGAATATTAACCTATATCCCAGTAGAAAAATCATAAAGCATGATCTCTCATCCATATATAAATGGATACGGTGTTGCTCCAGGCAGAGAGAAAAAGAACAGTCAAAGGGCTCTTCTGTTGTTGTTAGTTGCGAAGTCGTGTCTGACCCATAGCGACCCCATGGACAACATTCCTCCAGGCCTTCCTGTCCTCCACCATCCCCCGGAGTCCAGTGACTCCATCTAGCCACCTCATTCTCTGCCGTCCCCTTCTTCTTTTGCCATCTATTGTTCCCAGCATTAGGCTCTTCTCCAGTGAGTCCTTCCCTCTCATTAGGTGGCCAAAGTACTTGAGTTTCATCTTCAGTATTTGGCCTTCTAAAGAGCAATCAGAGTTGATCTCCTCTAGGACTGACCGGTTTGATCGCCTTGCAGTCCAAGGAACTCGCAGAAGTCTCCTCCAGCACCACAATTCAAAGGCCTCAATTCTTTGGCGCTCAGCCTTCCTTATGGTCCAACTTTCACAGCCATACATTGCAACTGGGAAAACCATAGCCTTGACTGTACGCACTTTTGTTGGCAGGGTGATGTCTCTGCTTTTTAGTATGCTGTCTAGATTTGCCATAGCTTTCCTCCCCAGGAGCAGGCATCTTTTAATTTCTTCGCTGCAGTCCCTATCTGTGGTGATCTTGGAGCCCAGGAAAATAAAATCTGTCACTACCTCCATTTCTTCCCCATCTATTTGCCAGGAAGTGAGAGGACCATGATCTTAGTTTTGAGAGGAAGTGAGATGCCATGATCTTAGTTTTCTTAATGTTGAGTTTCAAGTCAACTTTTGTGCTCTCCTCCTTCACCAGCATCAAGAGGCTCTTTAGTTCCTCTTCACTTTCTGCCATTAGAGTGGTATCATCTGCATATCTGAGGTTGTTGATATTTCTCCCATCTTAATTCCAACTGGTGATAGCCCCACCTTTTTCATGATGCACTCTGCATAAAAGTTAAATAGGCAGGGTGACAGTATACAGCCTTGCCAAACTCCTTTCTCAATTTTGAACCAATCAGTGGTTCCGTGTCCAGTTCTCACTGCTGATTCTTGACCTGCATACAAGTTTCTCAAGAGACAAATAAGATGGTCTGGTACTCCCATCTCTTTAAGGACTCTTCTACATAAGCTAATTATTGTGGGTTCATGATTCCTCGCTCACAGAAGCTTGCTGGGTCTTTTTACAACATTGCCATCTTCCAGGACCAGTCCCAAGTTTTCCAGCAATTTTTGTTGCTTATTTTTAGAACAAGAAAAGTCTGATATCCGTTGCCATTGTTTGCTACAGAGGCTTAGTATATTCGTGCAATTTCTCTCTGCGCAGGCACAGCACCCATAAAGTGTGATGCACAGAGGCCACGATGAGGAACTATAGGTTAGGACCAAGCCATAAGGGTGCTGTATGTTTATGGGGCAAACAGAATTTTTTGGCGAAAACAATTTAAATCAGGAAAAAAGCATGGGAAAAAGAGATGCCCTTCTGCCACATCCTCCACTTGAACTGTTCCTCCCCACAGCTGCTTTTAAATTAAAACACACACACACACCAGGCATGATAGGAGGTAACGTCTTCTAGCTCATGTTTCTTTTGGGCCTCACTACTTACACTTCCCCGCTGCTTCAGCTTGTTTCAGTGAGATTCTGTGTTTGGATGTTCTGCTTTGTGTGTCTACACATTTTTGATGGTGCAGGTCAATTCTTTCCAAAATATCTTTGTGGAAGAACGGATTTGAAATCTAGAAAAGAGATCAAGAGGGTGACTACCCAGAGGAGGGCCATCTCTGTGGTGGCGCCCCGATTGTGGAACATGCTCCCCAGAGAGGTTTGCCTGGCCCCAACGCTTCTTTCCTTTTGGTGTCAGGCAAAAACCTTTTTATTCTCCTAGTATTTTAACTGTTAACCTGTTTTAGTTAGTAGTTTTATTTTAACATCGGATGCTGTGCAACTGTTATTTCTATGTTATTGTATTGATTTATTGTAAACCATCCCGAGACATCTGTGAGGGGACAGTATAGAAAAGTTTTACATGAACAAACAAACAAACAAAGATGTATACTTGTTTGGCCATACTGGCAACTAAAATCAGTAGCAACAACATGCATTTTCTAGGGGGAGATTCTGCATATGTAGCAACGGTTAAAATGCAGATGTGAAGTTATATTCTTTATTCTTACTAAGCATTCTTGCTCAATTGTTTGGAATGAGTTCCTGGACAGTGACCCTTCCTTATTCATTAAGGTATGCCAGAGGACCATGTTTGGGGATTTATGAGCATCACGGAGGCAACCCATAGGATTACACCCTAATGAGCCTATCCAGTGGCATGGGTTTGTGAAAGAGTCTTTCTCCTCTTATGAATGTGGTAGATCATTTTAATCCGTGACTGCATAGATCTTGGTATCTGCACATTGGAAAAAATATCATTCAGGCAAATTGTGCAAGCAAATAAATCTTTAGCCATCAATAAGCTGCTTATATGTAAGTTGTAATTGCTACTAAAATAATTTACTAGACCTTAATAGGAAGCTATTGGCACATACAGATGTTGTTGTTAGTCGCGAAGTCGTGTCCGACCCATCGCGACCCCATGGACAACACTCCTCTTAGATACAAGCTTCTATGTGTGGATGTTGAACTTGAGATAATATCCACATACTTTTGAGATAATATTGAGTAAAAGAGAATTATACTTGTGATAATATTCATCCAGTTTGAGAAATAGTTTATATACAGTTTAGCTGCTACATGGCACTGGACTTAGTTATACTGGGCCAGAGTACTGAGTTTACTGTCAGTGTTGTGAAAGACAATAAAGTTCCTGTCTAGCTTTCTGACTCATGTGTCCTTCAGACCTTGCATATCATGGTGCTGGTGGTCACATTTTAAACCAACAGACTCCTAACAAGGCAAATAGAACGACACGGCTTCCTACATTAAATGCCTCCTGCACCAATAATCCTGCAGTATAACTGGAATGCAAAGGAAATACTTGCTTGCTTTTTCTGGACCGCAGGGTTCTACATAGAGGAAGAAAAAGCGCAAGCAAGTTCACCCTCTATGCTATAGGGGAGGAGCCATGACACCCCGCAGGGTAAATGAGTGAGGCTCCAGACTTAAAATGATCAGCCAGATTGCTCTACATTCACTCCCACATATTTACTATTTTTATATGCTCACCTTTCCAGTATCTAAGCCGTTAAGCCGATAGTATTTTGCCGGTCCAAAGTATCCTTCAATACCTGATGAGTATGTGCTGCCTCCCAAAGCCAAGTATCCAGAAGTGTCATCAAAATAGAAATCTTCTCTAAAGCTAAAGGAGAAAATAAGCTGAAGTTCTTCATATTCTGAACCACTGTGAAGTAAATATATCTGTGTCCCTGGCAGGTGGAGGGTTCCACCACTGAATGCTTTGGAAAGTGTCTGGTGGGTCACAACCAACTAGGAAGGCAAGTAAGCCAAGAAAGGATGATTGTACGAATGTCCTGTGGTGGACTTCTCAGGTTGGATACTGTGAGAACAAAATGCTGGGCTAGACAGGTTTTTGACCTGATCCAGCAGGCTCTTCTTCAGTTCTCACAGGATGGAAAGGAGAGCCGTTAGATAATAACGCAGCCGCTATTCTAAGAAGCAATATTAAAACTGATGAAGCAAGCCAGATTCTGGGGAATTATTCTGCAAGCTGAAATCCTATTACATATACACAGCAAGACATCATCTCTATGGGCTTTTGTTTTATTTATTTTTTGTGCCCCCCCTGCCCCCAGCTCCTTTTGCTTTTCATCCTACCCACCACTGAAACATGGCCTCTGAGAGCTTCCCTGAAATGTAATTTGGCCCTCTGGTCAAAAGAGGTCCTGCACCTGATCCATAGTGTCTTAACCCATACATGCATTCTTGCAGCATGACCAAAAATGGCTTTATGTGTTGCAGGATTTCCCCACCTTTGATTTTTCCATAGCTTGCTGTGCTACGCCCTGCAATCTGACTAAAGCCCTCCTTAACTGGTCACTGTGATTTGGTGGATGGCCTTCTTAAGTCACAATGGAGCTGTATTCTCTCTATTTTGTAATAATGGGTTTAACAGTTTTCCAGGGGATGCTCAAATATTTGGAGTCTTTCTATAATCGACCCTGACTGGCACTTCTGAACAACTTTATCCTACAGTTGTTGTGAAAACTCCTTGGTCTTCCTGATGCTACTACAGTAACAATCTCTTGGGCCTTCCAGCAACCATTTATTTAATCTGAGATCATGTGGTACTGGAACTGCACACAGGTGTGTGACTTCTAGAGGCAGCAACTTATTTAGGCAAGCCTCAAAGGAGGTGAATACTTACACAACAAACAGGTACCAGTTTACATTTACTTTTCTGCCACACTCAAAGTATTTTGCACGGTCACAGTGCTGAATATTTCTTGTGCATCTAGTGGTAACAATGCGAGTCACATCCATTTCAATTTCAGGTTGTAACCCAGGAAAATGTGGAATAGCTAAAGGGCAGAGGAATACTTCTGCAAGGCACCATAACAAATCCTACTCATCAAGGAGCACGCCAGAAGCATCTCTGCATAGGACAGTGGTCTCGGCTCCTCTCCTGGCACAGGCAGATCACTGATTCATGTAGAAACACTGGGGAGAGACTTTGCAGAAAAACAACTCTTCCACAGTGTAAGAAAAGTAACCACGGCAAGTGCAAGAGTAAAGTGTGCTTCCTATTTTAATCGACCAAAGTGTGCCCCAGTAACTTTTATGATAAGGAAGTATGTTCAGGAGGATAATATGAAGGACTTAGTTCCAACAGTTTGTGAGGACTGGCTAATCTGTAACTGGTACGGGAGCTACAGCCTGGGATCTGGTCTCTCAAAGTCCCAGGAATGTTGCTAGGAAGGCAAGAGTGGCATGATCCCTTGGCAGCCACCTTCACCCAGCCTTAAGGATGAGTGAGACAGGCTCAACCCATGTGAGATGTTACTGGAATTCTCTTGTACCTGAGCCAAAGAAAAGTGGTCCCCAGATGATAAATGCATAAATCATAAAGCAGTAGTGTTGGAAAGGGCCAAGAAGGGCATCAGGTCCAATTCCACTGCTCAATACAAGACTCCAAGTTAAATCAGCCTTCTCAGATGGCTATCCAACTGCATCTTGAATGCCTCTAAATTGCCTGCAACCTCCCTAGGCAATTTATTCCATTGTTGTTCTGCTCAGAAAGCTTTTCTTGATGTTCAGCCAGAATCTGGCTTCCTGTAACTTGAGCCTGTAATTAATACAATTAGTTCTTTGTCAGGGTTGATATACTGAAAGGTTAAGCAAATGAGGGAATCGTTTCCCTGATCAAATTGTCCTGCGTCAGCTGAAGGCAGTGATTCATTTGATATAATCATTAGTAAAACTGAAAGCATGCCAGTTGCAAATACAGTATTAGGCAAGCCTGCGAACTTCAAAATTGTAATTAACATTGAGGTGATTATCCTTAGCAAGTACAGGAGAGACTACATATATGTCTCAAGGATGAAATGGAACCATCAAATAGTGCCAGTGAAACTGAAAGTGCCCAGCAACCTTAGTGAAAGAGAGTTGCCTTCTGTTGAAATAAATAAGCAGTTATCAGCTTATCATGCATAGTCCTTTCAGTTGCTAAAATACATTAGGGCACAGCCCAATGAGACTGCCTGGAACCCTCCCATTACGGATATCCTATGCAGAGCAAAAGGAGCACAGAGGTGAAGGCTGCCTCCACAGCCCTCCCATGGCTGATGTTGGCTGTCTCATCTGCGGAGCTTTGAAGGGTAGGGGAAGATGGCTGAGTTGCCAGCAGGAGGTATCATATCTTGGTGGTGCTGGTCCCTTCCCATCCTGCCCACTGGAACATTCACCTAATGCTTCTCCAAATTTGTTTTTATGGATTTAAGAGAACCAGTTTGTGCGGTTCTTCCCACACTGATTGCAGTAGGAGGCATTCTGCGAATGGAATCCTAGCTCCCATCTTGGAGTTGTTTTCTGAGATGAGAGCTGGGACTCTGAAAACTTCTGTGAGGCTCTAGACCAGTGATGGCAAACCTTTTAGAGACCGAGTGCCAAAACTGTAACCCAAAACCTACTTATTTATCGCAAAGTGCCAACACTGCAATAAAACCTGAATACTGAGGTTTTAGTTTAGAAAAAACAACTCACAGCTAATCCAAGGAAATCCTTGGCAGCGCACTGACTAGCCATGCGAAAGCTCAGACAGGTTGTGGCTAATGAGTCGCGGCTTGTGACGTCATTGCCTGGAAGCACTACTCCTTTCTGAGCATGCGCATGGCCCCTATGTGCGCTGTTATCTGGGGCGATCCTGGAGCGACTCGGCTCGTGTGCTGACAGAGGGCTCTGCAGGCCCACTGCGGCACGTGTGCCATAGGTTCACCACCATTGCTCTAGACAATGTGTAGGTAGGGGCCACAAGGATCACTCTGTGGATGCATTATTATTATTATTATTATTATTATTAAGACGTTTCAAAACCTCTGTTTTCCCCACATATTTCCAACAGAAATATATGCAATGTTTCAATCACATTAAGCGTCCTTCGGTTTTTCTCTCCCAAATATTTCATGTCAAATACATGTAGCATACTAAGCAAAAACAAAACAAAACATAGGATACCTTTTAAGGCTTGGTTTACTAAATATAATTAAACATGCCTTTTAGGGTGTTGAAAATAAATTCTGCCACACACTGAAAAAAATCTTATGCAATCCTCCAATTCAAAATTTTCTAGAAAATCTACATCCATGGTTCAACAATGGTAAAGGGCCCACAGTTGGGATTGGAGGATCAAGAATACATTTCTTTTTCTTTTCTTTTTTGGCAATAACCTTGAGAGTAGCAAGAAATGGAAGAGATAGGAAAGGAAAAAAAGTGTAGTTATGTAAGAATACACAGTACCAGTTTCAATGAAAGAAAGGTTGGCCTTACTTGAAAGTTTGACGCTGATGACTTTCCAGATTCTTTCCAACAGTGGTTATTTCAATCTAAAAGGAAAACTATTTAATATTATTTCTGCAAGTGAGCATTCTAGAAGACAATTAAAAATAAAATTCTTATCGTCTTGTCTCACAAGTTTTTATCAGGATGTTAAGCTGATCCTTTGAAGAATACACAAGAATTCATTATAAATCTGGATTAAGCAACTGCACTGGATTAAACACATTGTCTGATCCCTTCCACAGCAGCCCTTCTGGCAGCTTGAAAATGCAACACAGAGAATCAGGAGATCTCACTAAAGGGGGTAGTAATGTAATGAGGCGGGCAGGCAAAATTCAGGCGTTTCAGCCCTCTGGAACCCCTCCTCTTGTGGAAGCAGATTCTGGATCCAACCCCCTAAATATGAAGAAAATCACTACTATATTTCTGCTGCTGTACTTCCTCTCTCTGGAAAGTCTAAAGGCCTGGTGCAAGACAGGAGAGATCAGGAACCTTGGACAGACGTAACAAAAGCTACAATGAGGTCCTGTGTTTATTTGAAGGAGCCGTCTTTCTGGCCCTCTTTTCAAGATGGAATGCCAGCTACCCTCTCCATAACCACCACCACCACTCGCACTTTTGGAGAGAGTCCTGGAAACACTGTCCAGGGAAGGTCCTCAGTACTGCTTGCCCTCGGGCCCCAGGGGATGAGAAGTCAGGTCAGAGGATGTGGAATATAGTCACACTGTGTGTGCAAAGCGGTGACCATTTCCAGAATCCCCACCACCAACAGTCAGTATGCATGCACATATGACAGGTGCAAAAATAAGCAAGCAAATTAATGAAGGAAAAACTGCTGCTACGGGAGGAAACTGGCTTTCCTCTCTTTCTTCTGGCAGCCTGCCCAGAGGTAAACCGCATTTTGGCTTCATTCTGTTAATAGTGCTAGGAGGGATGGGAAAAGGAGCATGGGGACCTGATGCCCCTCTTGGTTCTCCTCACCCTTCAGTTGGCCTGATATCCGCCTTATCTATATCTGTCTACCTGAACACTGAATGCTCCAAGCAAAAAGCTCTTAGTGTGACCAACGCTAAGGATGTTTCTCTTGTAAGTAAACAAATGAATGGCAATGTCTCCTGGAGCCCTCACCTCCTGGAAAATTTCATGTCTGAGGCAGCAATTGCAAGCTAATTGCCTCATCTGGAAGTTGTATTTATGTATTTATATATTTATTAGATTTATATCCCACCTTCCCCCTTTTTCTTTTTAAAGAACTCAAAGAGCCTTATTCTTTCTCCTGTTCTTATTCTTATCTCCACAACAACAACCCTGTGAGGTAGGTTGGGCTGAGAGGCTGTTATCGGCCCAAAGTCACCCAGTTGGCTCCATGGCTGAGCAGGGACTAAAACCCTGAACTCCTGAGTTCCAGACCCACACTGTTAACCACTGCAACAGGTATTGAGAATATCAGTAAAAGGCTGAAAGTGGACTTAATACAGGAGCACATCCTTAAGCTGTGGACAGGCAAGAGCACCAGCAGATCAAATGCTGGCTCAGCCAACATCACTCTTTCCCTCATGTTTCAAGTGGCCCTTTTAGTAACAGAAAACCCTGCTTCAACATCCATGCATTAACCACATTATCTTTTAAAGGGAGGCATTTTGGACAAGGTACATCTCAGGACATCCTCAAAGCTCTGAAACCATTTCTTGCATCTTCCCTCATGGTAGCCTGCAATCCTTGAATGCATTTGCTTTGCCTTTAGCTATGACAGGGCTGCTAGAGAGCTTACACATACCTGTCCTCCATTAACAGAGAGGTCAAACCGAAACCACTGCTTCAGTGGGAGGAGGAAGGTTGTTTTTACAGCAGTATCTTCTCCTTTGACAAGGTGCATCTGGATGTGAACATAACCTGAAACACAACGCAAACAGAACACCAGTTAAACTATATTTTGAAGACTGAAGGGGGCTTTCTTCCCAACTATTTACACAGATAGGTGACTCCAGATGCTCTGGACTACAATTCCCATTGTCCCTCACCATTACCAATCATAGGCCAAGTCATCTGGAGAGCCAAAAGGTGCCACCCCTAATATAGGGGCAGGCAGCTGCCTGATGGTGTTATTTTAAAAATATTGTTTATTATATTATATTATTTATCATATCCTGCCTTGTAGAGCTCCTAGTCATCTCCAATTCAGTAGACTGATCAGGGCCACAGCTCCTTAGCTTCAGCAGTGACCAGGTGTTCTCAGACTAGTCACTGGGTCCCCGCTCGGCTCTATCCCTTAAAACTATATGGTGTCCATTCCCACAAAGCAGCTCTCACATAAATGCCTCAGGATGGGAGGGAACCACTGAATGTCGTGTAGAAGGCATTGTTTCTGTTTGGGGATTTTATATGCAACTGGACCAATTTCTTATGATTATGACCACCCATTTTTGAGCTGCTGACTTTTGTTGGAATTGGGGTGGCGACACAAACACCACAAACTCCTGAGGATGTGTTTGTTCACCCCAGTGTAAGTACACTGGCAAAAACACACTTTTCTGTGGAGACTGTATCCACAGAAGCACCAGTAGGAAATGGCTGATGTATTGGCTAGAAGAGGGCTTTGGCTATTGTGCACTCTAGAAATGGAACAGAGAAGTAAAATATGTCTCAAAGGCTATGCAGACTATTGCCAGTTTAATGATATTTTAAGTGCCACAGCATCCTCCAAAGTACCCAGTGAATTCTTATTTGTTCATTAGAGATCTTCCTTCACAGGAAAATTCCACTGCATTATAGTTTTTAAAGTGCAGCCAGCCAGTAACTATCACTGCAGATTATTTTACGATAAAAGAAGGCAATCTCTACGGAGTGGTACCAGTTTCAGCCATGTACCTTATAATGTAATGAACACAATTAATGGTCCCATTTTTGAAAGAGACCGAAACGGGATATGAAGTAAGGCAAACTGGAGAGTCTGGGAATGGTATACACTGCCCCCCCCCCACGATACGCTGCTTGCTCCATCCCTTTACCGTAACTGTTAGTCCCAAAAAGGGGGTGCCACTCCCTATACGGACCTGCAGTTATGCAGAAAAGTGGCAGTACGGGAGATGCTACAACTTAAGATGCCTGGATAAGTGAACATTTTGTGCCTTATGATGTGAGCACTGTAACACGAGATTAATAGGGGGCTGGTCCTCTCTACCATTTGTTTTCATTTCTGTACACAGAGGGCAGAGGGGGCATGGAATCAGCCACTTTTTGGCACATCATGTATGTCTACTCCCCATCCAATTATATGACCCTGCTTCTTCCCACTGCCATCCATCTGACTGACCTTCCTACAAGATTAGGAAGGATGCTGAAAACCAACATTAATTCAATTTGCTTTTGTGAAGGCATAAGAGATTAAAGTCTGTCTGTATGTTTTCCTTCTACTTACCTTCATCAGTTAGAAACACAGCAGGAGTGCCATACATTTCTTCAGAATCAATGAAATAAAATATTCCACACAAGGATTGTTTGCAGTAACGAAGTAAATAAAGCCAGACTGAAATAGTAAAGCTGTACAAGCAGAAAATTCAGATCAGGAAATGCTTCTCGTCTGTTGTTAAAACTTAAACATGATACAGCAAACTGGTCTTCAAAGAGAAGTATCATCACTTTCATCTAGTCATCTTTTTAAAAAACAGCCAATGAAGGGTGCAATCCTATTAAGGCTTAGACAGAAGGTTTTAGACAGTTTTGGTTTGAGAATGCATAGGAATGTTCCCTTGGATTGTCCATTAAGATCTTAGAGGCAAGTACTATAGAAATGTTGAGTTGTGAAAAAGTTGTAGAGAGAGGAAATTCCTTGCACCCAGCAACAGAGAGAGAAGCGCTTAGCAGACACCCAGGGTTACAAACAAGGGAAATGTCAGGAACCCTCTCAAGGCAGCAGAGCTCAAAGAAGCGCAAGGTTGCTTCTTCTAGAGATGACTCTTGATGCAAATAATAGGCCCAGAGGATCTGGCTGGCACCCCTGAAAGAAAACAGTTGGTCAGCCAAGCAGGCTGCACAGCTGCTGCAAACATGTCACCAAACAAATAAGGGTGCAGCTTGTACTTCTTGCGGAAAGCAAAGAATATATGGAAACACATTCTTTTTCCACAGCTCTGTCACAGCTAGGTATGTCTGTGCTGGTTATCAGAATACAAAATGAGATGGTGAGACTGGAGTCATAAAAAAGATATATCTACAGGATTGAAATTAAATCTCGAAAATCATATTTATATGAAGGCAAATGCATGGAGGCGAAATCACTGATGATTGATCATTGGCTAACGAATAAACTACAAAAAGTTTGCAAATGCCTTGCTGGCTATTGTTTGAGATACAATAGCCTGATTCAGCAATGCAGTTCATTCTTGTGAATTAAGAGATGATGCCTGATTTCAAGCCTACTGCCAAAGCTTCTAGACATGACAGAATTGTGCAGCTTCTTTCACTTGCTTAGCTATGGCTCCACTCTCTTGCACATGGAGAAACAGAACAATGCAGAATTAAAGTATGTGAACCACAAGCTGCACCAATCACAGGAATGCAATGTGCAAACAATCAGAGGAATGAGAAGCATTATTGGGGAAATAATTGTGCAAGCAAAACCGCAGTGTTTTTTCAATTATAACTTTCCGTAAGACAGACTGGGGCTCTGATAAAAGGGAGTTGGAAAAGAGGAGTTTGATGGAAGAAACATAATTTAGGGTTTGAATAGCAAACACAATTATATTCATAGTGGTTTTATTTACTTACGCAGGGTAACTAATATGATACTTTCTGATTGCTTCAAGGTCTCTGTTTTTAAATCTCTGAAAAGTCTTCACAAGTCCTGCCATCTCTCCACTGGATGCATAGGGAAAAGTGAGGAGCTCAACCATGTCTGTAAAATGCAACCATTCTTAATTTGCTAAGCACCACAAAGGGCCTTCTGCTCCACTACCATTTTAATTCACAATGCCTACAGTGTTCCCAGCCAATGTTTTCATCACACCATCATCCTGCCTGCATCCCCAGTGCTTATTCCATCTTTTTTTCTAATTGCAGAAAACCTGTTAAACAGAAAAGGGCAGAATAGCTGCACAACCATCTTCCAGTTGGTTGCTCGTACTAGGAGTCTTCTAAGGGCCACTCCTATGGTAACATGTGATAGATTTGGATTTAGTTGTTTAGTAAATATTAAGGAATGCATGAGAGGCTAACAAACACTGCATTGGTTTGTCAGATTTTAAAGATGGTAGACACAATTCTGGCTGCTATGTCGTTGATCTTATCAGGTTTACCCAAAGTCCCACTAAATTCAGTAGAATATAATCCCAGTTTTAGATGAGTTTTCAAAGGACTCACCAATAGCTGGACCTTACGAACCTACCGTTCTGGCAATTAAATGTTCAGGAGGTGTGCTGTACTATCACACCAGTGCAATATCGCAAACTGAGGTGGTGAACTGATTCATGGGGTTGTACTGGGAAAACAATGTGGATGCAGAGTGCTTCCTGAGAGAGGATACTGAGCTAAAAATCAAAAGGCATTGTGCAAGGATTCCATCTTTTCTTCCTCAATGGATTATTTCTGGTAAGCAAAAAGACAGAAGCAGAGGTGAAAAAGCTCAGGGAACTGAACAATGACAACTTCTGGCCCCATCAAATTCAGTGGATGAGGCAGGCCAGTTGTGCAAAACAATTTTTAAAAGCCTGTGATTGGATTCTTATCTGCCTTCCATGGATGGAAGGCTTTGCTCATCACAGGTGAGACATTCCCTCTCACTTGCCACTCCACTGTTTACCCCATTTAGCAAGGCCTCCCGGCCATCTTTTCAGGATCTTGAAGGGGCTGGCATAGGAAAGACAGGGCATGGAAGCTGGCTTCTGCTAACAGAAGTGCACATGCCTGAACACAGATCCAGTCTCTTGCCTGGAAACACCCAGATATTACTAAGTTCGCAACAGCTTTCTCTTCCAGAACCCAAGCAACATCGTTGGTCTCAGCTCAACATTCCACAGAATCATACTGGGAGAGGCCAGGTCAGATCATTCCATATATTCTTACAATAAATAACACTGCAGGTTAATACTGGGCTGGAGCCAGACTTAGTTATACCTAAAACAGACCCACTAAAATCAATGGGACTTTAGTTGTTACTAACTCATTCTACTGAATTCAGTGGATCGACTTAAGGCCTTTTCTATTTGAGATTATTAATCCACTTGAATTTACTTCTGCATTTGTTATAGAGCTGACATCCAAACATTCCTTTTTGCTTTTCCTTTACACAACCTCTAGGTGGCGCTGTGATATAACAGAGTAGTGCAATTACACAAGGAGAAATAGGTTTCTCTACTTTCCTTAAATAATATAGCATTCTCCCTGATCTAAGAACTCACAAAATGTGTTCTTTAAAACCAGAAGCAGAACTGGGGGTGAGAGGGACACATTGTTATCAAAAGACCTGTGAACAGGAAATGATCCATGCAAAAAAGGTAGGCATGAATTACGTAGAAAAGTTCTAAGCATGGCCAAGTCTGGATCTAACCTGTCTTTCAACAGCCTTTGATAATGGAATAGTAAATGGTCAGCAGCTTTAGGTTTTCCATCACTAGTTTAGTTAAGAAAACAGCATATTCTATTCTATGCAGCGCTACAGCACACCTCTGTGTAAGATCTGGTTTCCAATGTTAATTTTGCATTCAGTACTGTTTACTGACAGAGATGCATGAGATAATGTTCTGATGTTTGCTACTGCATCACTTTTATAGAGACAGAGGAGGTTCCTTGTCCGTTTGCCTGGCTTTTGGAACATGCCATACCTGAAACAGGGCCAAGATTTCCTACCTCCTGAAGCAGTGGAAGCAGCACGCCGGCATTGTTGGGGCGTGTGGAGGCACACAACTGCTGCTGCCACACACAGGTGGGGGAAGAAGGGTGACTGGAGGGAAGGCACTTGTGCTGCCGCACAGGGAAGGATTAAGAGGAGCAGGAGCCACTGCCATATCCGTGGGGAAGGAGATGAGTTGCTGCCACGTGAGGGGAAAGGAAAGGCGCATAAGCCACTGCTGTGCAGAGAAATGCTGAAAAGGAACATGGGCCGCCACTGCCACCTGCCACTCTGTCCTACCTACTCACGGCCTCTGCCTGCCTGCCTCTCAATACCATGCCGTGAGGGGTCCTTTGGGGCAGGCGTGGGTGGAGAGCCCCCCTGCAGCATGTCAACCCCAGGACTGCCTCCCCACCAAAGCGAGGAGTGGAACAGCTGCTGCCACCAGCGCTATGCCTTGCGGCATCACGTGACCAGCGCACCAGGGAGCCACTGGGCCCGTGTGCAGCCTTTGCTGAAGTAGGAAAGCAGCTGATGCAGTTTTCCAGAGCAGCCACTCACCCACCTCTTACTTGGAGCCAGGCAAATGATGGGCAGTAGCAGCTTCAGTGAGCTGGGACAACTGCTTCCAACAGTGGCCTATGCATCCTATGCCTCCCTTGGAGAGACGCAGGGAAGTGGCAGTATCAGGACCCACAGTCTTCCTGGCAGCAGTGTGTGTGGATCCAGCACCTTTCCAGAACCATCACCTGGAGTGGGAGATTTTCCCTGCCTCATGGGAGGGCCAGCCCTGATCTGAAACCACGGTTTGATCTTCACTTGCTCTAACAAACCAGTTTAAACAAACTGCAATCCTCTGAATTTGGACATAACAGAGAACAGTGGCTTATTTCAAACTTGAAGTGAAAAGCTTCTGACCTCCTTCTCACAGCTGTTAAAAAAAGGAGGGTGGGAAAACACTTGAGCCCAAAGCCTGCGTGGGCTGATTCACATCGCCTGGTTTCTTCTTGCGTCTTGTCATAATATACTGACATGGGTTATTGGCCATAATATACAGACAAAAGATTTCAAATTTGTCCCATCATGCTGGCATCTCACCAGGAGCAGATTCTTACCATGTGCTGCTTCACTGCAGCGATGCCTCTCTCACAAAAGACGAGATACCTACCATGCTCGTGCAGACACCAAGGTATTCGGTTTGCCTGGAGTCTCCACGTGTATTCCAAGCTCCACTTCAAACACACGTTGTGTTCCTTGTAGGGCCGTTCAAAAGGCGGAACAGTTTCCAGCAAAGCATAGTCCTTTGCAATAGCTTGCAGGTACGCTTCCCTTTGTTTAGTATGGTGGATGTCTGTTTGTTTGTGAATGATCCATGCATGCAGTATCACTGTGTGTACTATCAAGGAATGTCTGATGATGTAATCATCTCTGAAAACCATACTGCTTGGAAACGTCAAGTTCACAGTTTTGTTCACAATGGTGTGAAGGGGCTTGCCATTTTCCCACCTCTTTTTATACACCGACACAGCAGTTCTAAATTCAAATGAAGCTATAGCTTCTACAGTAACTAAACAAGGTTTAGAGCATAAATAGTTCACTGAAATTTGAGTATCATTGCGAACTCTTTTGTTCAAAACATTCAAATTAATAAAATCTTCATAAAATGCACTATGTTCAAACTGTGAAGAAAAAGGTGTTGTCAGTGACGTTTCTCTTCCAAAAGATGACATACATTGCTAGGAAAGAAAAATATATAAATGAAAGCTGTTTCTTTAATATTTAAGCAAAACTGATACATGAATTTGCTTTAAATTTTTTCATTAAATATCTTCTTACTTAAACTTTTTGCAGAGTTGTGTACCAAAGAGTAATTTGTGAGAGATTATATAAAATAATAGGTGACCTGATAACAAAAAAGGACATTTATAGGAAGCAGAAGGAAGGCCAGGCTACAAAGGAAAAATACAGGCAGCTAGCATGGAATTGCAGGGAAAGCATCAGAAAAGTGCAGAGAATGATTTGAAGACGACACAAAACTGGGTGTGATAACTAATACCCTGGAAGTCAGAAAGAAGATTCAAGGTGATCTTGATAGGTTGGAATACTGGGCTGAAAGCAACAGAATGACATTCAATAGGGACAAATGCCAAGTTTTGCACCTAGGAAAAAGAAACCAAATGCAGCATTCCAAGATGGGGAATACCTGGCTCAACAATACTGCAATGAGAAGGATCTTGGAACTGTTGTAGATCACAAGCTGAGTATGTGTCAACAATGTGATCAAGCTGCAAAAAGGGCAAATGCTATCTTGGGCTGCATTGATAATAGTATCACTTCCAAATCCTGTGAAATAAATAAATAAATAAATCCTAGTTCCCCTTTACTCAGCACTGGCTAGGCCTCATCTGGCATATTGTGTCCAGTTCTGTGCACCACAGTGGAAGAAAGATGCAAATAAGCTAGAAAGGGCTCAGAGCAGGGCAACAAGGTTGATCCAGGGACTGGAAACAAGCCCTGTGAGGAGAGATGGAAAGAACTGGGCATGCTTAGCCTTGAGAAGAGAAGACTTGGGGGAAGATATAAAGATACAATACCACTATGGTATGATAGCACAATGCAAGTATTTGAAAGGCTCTCACAAAGAGGAAGGACATGATGGGTGTGCCTTAATGATGAATAAAGGGCTCAACTTGTAGGAAGCCAGATTCTGGCTAGATATCAAGAAAAAATTCCTGACTGTTAGAGCGGTACGGCAATGGAACCAATTACCTAGGGAGGTTGTGTGCTCTCCCACACTAGAGCTCTGCATTCAAGGTGCAAGCGGACAGCCATCTGAGAGGGATGCTTTAATTTGGAGTATCTGTACTGAGCAGGGGGTTGAACCTGAAGGCCCTCCGGCCCTTCCAATTGTACTGTTCCATGATTCTATAGTGATTCCTATAGAATGCAATCTCAGAGCTGGGATTCTTTCTGGCAGCTGGCATGGAAAGAACTGTGCCTGCTGCCACTCCCCTCAAGAATGGAGCTGGGCCTTGGAAGAGGGGTGCCAGGGTCAGGGAGGAAGCACAAGATGTGGATTTATGCTGATTCCTATAGGTATTCCAACCATCTAGATAAAATATCTGGTGTAACTCACAGCAGAGATCACCACCTCATTCTGAGCACAAGACGCACATAAGCTTCCAAGTTCAAATGCTTACATTCCCTGATGATGCAAACCATGGGGCTGCACCCTAAATTAACACATTTTTAAGATGGTTCTCTTCCTAAATGTTTTTTCCCATTTGGGTGGGTACCAATAAGAATCCAAGCTACTTTTTGGTGACCTTTTGTCAGAATCTTGTCAATCTCAGGCTTGGTTTTACAGGAAAGTTTCTAGTCCTCATGGTTTAAGAGTTCAGTCAGAAAATGTGGTGGCAAGTTTTATTTTGTCAACAACCATGCAGTAAGCCCATATGATTTAGGAGCAGAATATTTTGATTGTGAATATATATTTTTAATTAAGTATAATCACATAATCCCACATTCACCAAATTCTGCAGTAATATAGTTTGCAATCTATGTAATGCATGTGGAAAATAGATGTGATAGCTAGCTCTGTTTACAGATTAGCTATGATTCTTCAGTTCATGAAATATTGCAATAGGGTCCAATGAGGCATATAGAACAATACAGGATCAGGTTAATTATCTTCACAATTGGCAGTGCCTAGGAAGGGACTTGACAGAAGCTCAGAAGCAGGACATGTGGGGAGCCATTTCTTCAGACATTGTTAATAAAGGTCATAAATTGTAGCCACTTTCATTGACCTATTTTCCCCGAAGCCATTCTGAGCAAAACAACACTCTCCCAAACATATTTTTCTTTTTCTTCCTTTTTACAGAATAGCAAGTTCCATTACTTGGTAGGGCATCTCTTGGAAAAGCAAGGTTGCCACTAACGTTACACACTTTACAGGATAACCCAATGCAGGTGAGAAAATCGGAGCTGGAAGAAAGGTGAGTTGCCGCTGAAAACTGCCACGTACGTGCCCGGAGATTAAACGCAAAGCTATTTGCAGCCTCTGAGCAATTTGGGACGGTCCCCCACGCCCTCCCCTTCGGGCGACTGGAAACAGGTTGAGAAGAGGGGCGACCACCAGGCGTTGCAACTCACCAGCAGCAGCCAAACGAGGCGAAGGCAGCGGAAGCCGCCGCTGGCGCCCCGACGGGGCTCGAGTGGCCCCGTGGAGTCCTCCGTGATCATGCCCGCTTCTGCGTGCTGGCTGCGCCCGATCAGGGAAATCCTGCCACGCGGTGTGTGAGCGACACAGATCCTGCTTCCTGCACATTCCTCCGGCTGGTTGCGAGAGCGAGAAGAAAGAGGAAGCAGGAAGCCGCCAGCGCAGCAGGTGCGCCGAGGCTGGGCAGCCCCCGCTCAGCCGCGGCCCCTCCAGGCCCCTCGATGCGCTTCGACGGAGCCTTCTTCTGCGCCACCTGTAGGGACGAGTTGCGAAGCCCTCTTTTGGAGTGACTTCGAAGCGTGCGGGTACTCCCTGTTTGGTCCTTCATCGTGTAAACACGCATCGGGAACTGCCTCGACGCTCACGTGCCATCTCCCCTGGCTTTTCCACCCGCCACTAAAAAGGGGAACGCGGGAAAAGTCCGCGTACGAGGGTTTTTTCAGAGGAGGCTTTTATTGTGTTGTCAAAATAAAACTCTTTTATTGTGGCCCCCTAAGCGCGCTTCCAAACCTATGGCTTCTGGCGCTACCAGTCAAATTATTCCATCCAGCAATTCCCGTCTTTCCTTCCTAAAGTGATGTTTGTGAAAAGGAAAAAAGAGCAGAGAAGCCACTATGAAAACACAGGATGGTTAGGCCCTAAGGCATCCTTTTGTATTTGTGGGTGTGTATTTAGCTGCCTGTGTGCTGAAGGAAAGATGCTTCTGTCTGGAAATGTAACATCCCTGGGGAAGCAGTGGGGACCTGGGCAGTTGTGCGGGAGGGGAGTTACCACTTTTGGGTGCTGCATGCAGAAGGGCCCCCAGCAGCTTAACATAAAGGATGTTGCAAAGCAGGGCTAAGGAAGAAATCAGGGCTGCCAATCGGAATACACCTATCTGAGGTGAAAGTTGAGTATCCATCTTTGAGAGGCGTTTCTACAGAGCTTTTCTGTGGAAGGCATTTAATGTGCATTTATTGCACCTCTTCACAGTTGCTTACAAGTACTTTAGAGAATGATACCACCATCTAGTTTTGCTTCTTCTTTCTGAAGTGTATTTTTGTGCAGTGGGTTGGGGTTTTCGTGCGAAGAAACTTGAGTGTTATTTATGAAAGTGGAAGTAAAAGTTTTTTCCTACTTACGTAACTGGGTTTTTTCATCATCATGCAGCACCATCAGCAAGTTATGCAGCAGGAATGGAAAAACTGAGCAGAGCTTGGATCTTAATGCTGCACTGAAATCTAAACTAGCACTTCAAAGGGTTGGGTAGAAAAGCTCTGTGCGTTTTTAGCTAAAAGAAGCAGTTGCTCAATAAAGCATCATTGGATCACACTATCTTAAATAATTATCAGCTGGTTTCCCTGCCTCTGATGCCAAGAAGGCTACAGAGATCTGTGTAACAACAGGTATTACGCAGGGGCACTGCAAAAAGGATTTCTTACATAAGCAGTTATAAGCAGGTGGGGAAAAGAATTTGGATTGGAGCCACAACAAAGATATGGGTTTTACCCATTCCCTGCAAATTCTTTATAATTTCACTTAACCCCATAAACTTTCAAATGCCTCATGGGCAGGGAAAATGGAATGTTTTCCCCTTCAAGAGAAATTGCAACTGGGTGGAGCTTTTAATTCATGGAAACCATGCAGGCTAAAGTCCTTTCCCTTATTCTTGGAGTCATCATCCAAATCACCCCTACTACTGTTTTTTAAATTAAAAAATGCAAGAGATATTACTTACTGACAGAACTGTAGAGAATTACATATCATCTTAGAAGCATTTATTAAGTTTTCTCTGTTTAGACCTTATTAAACTGAAGATAAGCATCGCACTAACAAGGAATACTATACAAAAATTAACCACTTACATGTGAAGGAGCACTAAAGGGAAAGATCTTTTCACAAAGATTTTATCATCCCTGAACTGTGTTTATGCTATTTTCTTGCTGAGCAGGATGGACTGGGCAGCTGTATTGTTTGTTTGTTTATAACCCGCCTTATTTCTTACAATGAACTCAAAATGGCTTACATCATTTTCCATCAACACTGTGAGGCAGGTTTGGTTGAGAGTCTTTGACTGGCCCAAAGTCACCCAGTTGGCTCCATGGCTTGCTGGGAACTAGAACCCAGATTGCCTGAGTTCCAGGCCTTATACTCGTAACCAGTTCACCACACTAGCTCCCATATGCTACTGCAGTTGCAATCCTCTAATATTTTCCTGTCATGCCCTCCCAACAGCTCAATAATAGCAACATATGGGAGAAAAGAGTATGGTGTCGGAATGATACAGACGTGATTAATGAACCTCCGTTATCACGCTGGTAATTGCCCGGTCGTGGGCCGTGAGGCTCAATCTAAGCTCTGTAGGAGCCGAGATAGATTGCTTGGCAAATCCCCCAGATGATGTGGAACTGGCAATTCCACATTTAGTGGGAGGAAATCAAGTTTTCTCATCTGGGTATTACCGGAGGGAGAGCTGCCCTCTACAAATTCTCGACATACTACCTTTTTTTAGTTTTGTTTTAGCTTCTGTGAACA